TCCGCCAACGTGATCAACGACTTCATCTACCAGGGCGCCAACCTCCACAACCAGACCGACCGCACGGGTGAAACCGCCCTCCACCTGGCCGCCCGCTACGCCCGCTCCGACGCCGCCAAGCGCCTGCTGGAGGCCAGCGCCGACGCCAACGTCCAGGACAACATGGGCAGGACGCCTCTGCACGCCGCCGTGGCTGCCGACGCCCAGGGGGTCTTCCAGGTGGGCTCTCGTGTGCCACTTGTTTTTTCTCCTCAGGTGCTACAGTGCTGGAATAAGAAATAAGGACGAATTCATTCATCAGTCTTATGTAACTGTTTAAGTCATTGGTGAAGAGTGAGACGTGAGGGATTTGCTTTTGAGTATAATAATGGAGAATTATTTTAGTTAGTTATCGCTCTGGGAAATTGTGATTTTTTTAATTTTCTTAGATTTTATAGACTCAACTAATTTGTCAGTTGGGAGTTGCAGCCCGAAAACGTATACATGTCAAATAATCCTTACACTATTGTAAACCAGAGATGCCACATAGTCACTTCAAATTTATTATAGGCTAAGTTGCATATTTGTTAGAATATTTAAGTCAACATTAGAAGTTTGAAAATTTGACTTGTGGATTCCAGTTTTGCTTAAAAGCTCAAAACAAGTCTCGTGTCCCTGTAGATACTGATAAGGAACCGCGCCACTGACTTGGATGCCCGCATGCACGACGGCACCACACCCCTGATCTTGGCCGCCCGGCTGGCAGTGGAGGGCATGGTGGAGGAGCTCATAAACTGCCACGCTGACGTCAATGCAATCGATGATTTCGGTAGGATTTCTCCGTATTATGCCACCTGTTTGTGTCGAGAAATCAATCTAATTCATTGCCGAAGGAAGTGAAAAGGTAAATACCCCGAAATGCATCAAAAAAGCACTGGAGAGCTAATAAGCCTGTTTTTTGTTTCTTCAGGTAAATCAGCGCTACATTGGGCGGCGGCAGTAAATAACGTGGAGGCTGTTATTGTGCTTCTTAAGAACAGCGCCAACAAGGACATGCAAAACAACAAGGTAAAAGAAAGCAAGCTGTCATGTCCTGCCCTTTGTAAGACAATAGTGAACCACCAATCCAAAAAAGAACATTCCTCGGCCCACCAGTGATTCTCTTAACCTGTGTCTCCTTTCTGTCTGCCTCAGGAGGAAACTCCTCTATTCTTGGCCGCCAGGGAAGGAAGCTACGAGACTGCCAAGGTCTTACTGGACCACTACGCCAACAGAGAAATAACCGACCACATGGACCGCCTACCCAGAGACATCGCGCAGGAGAGGATGCATCACGACATCGTGCGGCTGATGGACGACTACAACCTGGTGCGGAGTCCTCACATGCACGGGGGGTCACTCGGCACCACCTTGTCGCCCCCGCTCTGCTCGCCCAACGGCTACCTGGGCGGCATGAAGCAGCCGCAGCCCCAAGGCCAGGGCAAGAAGGCACGCAAGCCCACCGCCAAGGGCATCGGCTGCAAGGAGGGCAAGGACATGAAGGTGAAGAAAAAGAATTCCCAGGACGGCAAGCCTGGCAACCTCCTGGACGGCTCCGGCGTGCTGTCACCCGTCGACTCGTTGGAGTCTCCGCACGGCTACGTCTCCGATGTGGCCTCGCCGCCCATGATGACCTCCCCCTTCCAGCAGTCGCCTTCCGTCGCCCTGAACCACCTCCAGGGCATGTCCGATCCGCACCTGTCCGTGAACCACATGGTGATGCCGAACAAGCAGGAGCTGGCCCGGATGCAGTTCGACCCGCTGCCCCCCCGCCTCACCCATCTGCCCGTGTCCGGCTCCGGCGGCCCGGGCGCCATAAACGGCCAGTGCGATTGGCTGTCCAGGATGCACGGCAACATGAGCCAGCCGGGCCAGTTCAACCCCATGAGAGGAGCTCCCGGCGGTCAGGGAGGCCTGCACCCGGGCGGGCAGCACGGGATGATGACGTCCCTGCACAACGGCCACCCCGCCAGCCTGTCCCAGATGATGACCTACCAAGGGATCCAGAGCACCAGGCTGGGCCCGCAGCCCCACATCCGGCAAGCTCAGCAGATGCAGCAGATGCAGAACCTGCAGCAGCTCCAGCAGCAGCAGCAGCAGAGCATCCAGCTGCAGCACCAGAACTCGAGCACGACCAGCGGCCAGAGCTTCATCGGCGGGGAGCTCAGTTCGCCGGAGCTCCAGCAAGGCGGCGGCAACTCCAGCATGCCCATCCACACCATCCTGCCCCAGGAGACCCAGATCATGCCGACTGCCGTCAGCCAGTCGATGGCCAGCACCCAGTTCCTCACCCCACCCTCCCAACACAGCTACTCGGGCCCCATGGACAACACCCCCAACCATCAGGTCCAGGTGCCTGACCACCCCTTTCTGACCCCCTCCCCCGGCTCCCCGGATCAGTGGTCGAGTTCGTCCCCTCATTCCAACATGTCCGACTGGTCGGAGGGCATTTCAAGTCCCCCGACGAGCATGCAGGCTCAGATCGCGCATCTACCGGAACAGTTCAAATAAAAGGCTCGTATGTTTACGCCCAGACGAGCTGCTATATATTTTTTTATTGGGAAAAAAAGCACTTGTTGTGGAGGTAAAAAAAGCACAAAGGGCAGAGCTGTAAACACGATTTCATTTAGGACGTTTTTATATGCGTTTATACTAACAGCAACACCTGCGTTTCATCCATTCTTTTTATTTATTAATGCTTTATTTATACGCATTGCCTGCTTACAGAAATTTCTGGGACCCATGGTGCTGGGTCACACGGAGGACAGAGACGGTCCTTCAGAGAGACTCTGTGCTTTTAGCTTTTATTCTTCTGCATTGAAGCCGCAGCATATACACACTGGGTATTTATTTCTTTCAGGCCTTTTTTTGTTTTCACGTGATTTCTCAATCTTTGTTTATATTTCGTTCTCTTTTTTTTTGTTGTATAATCTTGTTTATAAAATCTCTTGATTATGGGGCGTTTTATATAGCACATTTTAAGTTCCAGTGTTATTCCGATGCGTGTGGGAAATATTTGTGTCGGTCGATGATAAACGAGTTGTCACTGTTAGCAGAACGCATGTCTGTGTATTTCACAGTCTCCCCTTCTTAAATATCATGTGATTCCCAGTTGCACTCGGTGGTGTACATTTCTTGAATCAACGGAGTGACATTACGCGGTGCCTCTAGATCTGACTGCGTTGCGACGTGGAGATGTGGTGGAGATGTGATATGTTGTACAGTATACAGCCATCTTGGAGATTGGCAGTTGAGAGACAGGCTGGAGTATCTGCTGGTGTTTGAGAACTGGCCCGTTGGCCACAGCGTAAGTTGTTGTTCAGAGGGAAAAGGAAACACTTCATTTCCCCTCTCTCTCCTATTAGTTTGAGCCTATGGCTGTGTTCTTCTATTTGTAAATATGTAATGCATTTCCCATGTGAGCAAGATTTTGTTTAAGAAATCTGATGTCTTAAGCATGATGTTTTGATGGGTCCCGCACCGGTCAACCGCCTCTAAAATGACAAACAGGACAGAATATATATATTTTATATTTCACCATCCCTTATGCATAATTGAATTTGAACTATATACAAATAAAAATGATATATTATTAGGAGAGATTTTTCTCATAAAAAACAAAAAAAACATAAATATTGAGGTTTTATAAATTCATATTTATTCTGTGTTCTGTAAACACGTAAATCAACTGAGGCAACCATTTGTGCATATTATAAAATGTTTTTGTTACACTTTGATTAAATGGAAAACTGTTGGCCGAGTTCTCAGTTGTGTCTGCATTAATACTTTGTCAGACACTTCCTGTAGTTTGCAAAATGTTATGATTTCAGAAAAACATTAGGTTATAGTGAACTGTAATATCTCCAATATGTTTCCTTCCTCTTATACTGTTATAATTTGCAAGAAATGTATTTCCTTTTTTTCTGTATTTTTCTGTAAATATGTTTCTTGTATAATAAATGGCACTTCCTTGCCTTGAACTTATGAGAACGGTCTACTACTTCTTACATCTCTAAAGATCGATATCGTCTATGCTCACACAGTGAAACAAGAGGTTAGATGAATAACTATTGATCTAGTACTATAAGCATATGCATTTGCCTCTTATGGTTATGGGCACGAATTGATAGCTTTTTACAAAACATCTAATATTGGGAATCTTTCTCTTCACACACTACACTTTATTTGAATGTGTGAGGTTCGCCGAAGGGGCCAAATATTTCACTTAGTGTGTCTCCCTCTGTCGGTGGTTATAATCACCACAATTGACTGACCTAGTTGAAAAGTCCAGCTGGTTGTTTCTGCAGCTTGTGTTTATTATCAAAACGGATCAAATAAAAACGAGACAAAGCAATCTTAGACTTATTGCGGTAGGTGCGGGCTCAAGGGGGAAAAAATGACTCACCAGGTCCCAAATAGTCCCCAGTTCCTAACCGGCCCGGCCCGGTGCTAAAATACAATCTAAGCCCTCGTTGGCTGCGTGGCAATTGAAGCATAAACTATTCAACGTGGAAGCTCAAAACTGAAACTCTGAAGGTTTGCAAATCATATTTTGACAAAGCTCAACAACAAAGCCCTAATTTTTCAGAAAGTTTAAATCTGTTTCAATCGTCTCAGTTGCTCAGCCCAAATAAGATATTTGATGAGGTCATTTTAGGTTTTAGATCCATCCTGACAGCATTTTATGACCATTGTTTAGCAATTATTATGTAACTTGCTTTTATTATTTATTCATCTTTATTTATTGTGGTTGTTGATATTGTTCTTTAGCGGCAAATATCGGCAAACAAATGTTGAATTAACGTGAATCAGCATGAACCAGTATGCAGTCAGGCTTCTGGAGGTCATCAGGTTGCGGTCATTGACTTGTAAGCCTGATTAAAGCGCCCTGTTAGCGTTCATCAGGGTGATCGCCGCCAACGGAATTGCTTTGTAACTACAATGAACTACGGCTCCCATGATGCACCGGGGGGTGGCACCGTTGAAGTTCAAAGTTCAGACATTACAGTAAAAATAGGGTACTTGCTGGCGTTGCTGCTTGTGTGTTTGCTGGGAATAAAAAACAACGGGGTGGTCACTGAAGTCTCGGATCGGTTGCCGCCGCACCGAAAACCGGCCGAGGAGACCGGAAATGGCCCTCAACTAATCTGCGCCTTGTGTTGCTCTGCTGTCGGTGGATTTACAGGACGACGGCTAGCTGGGTGCTAGCGTTAGCACGCTAGCTTGCCAGTAGCACATAGCCGCCGCTGCTAGCTAACGTCACTGGACCGGTGCTCTTTACTCTCAAGGCTGCAGATATGTTCGTCCAGGAGGAGAAGATATTCGCCGGCAAAGTGTTGAAAATACACATCTGCACCGTGGACGGCACGGAGTGGTTAGAGGAGGTCACGGAAGACACCACTGTTGAGAAACTGAAGGAGAAGTGCTTAAAACATGTAGGTTTTGGGCTTGTTTGTGTCATATGCCCCTGTTTGCTTTTTTTTTTTTGTCCTGTCACTCCTCCGCCTGAGGTGGTTGCAGTCTGCCATACCCGCATTGCACACTGGCAGTGTCGGTGTCACTGGCTTTGTATTTATAGTAACTGGCCAGACCTCGCTATTTATAATTTAGCAGCTAGTTAGCTAACAGTCCGACTATGCCCCCTTGTTGTGTTGCCAGTGGCCAGCCTAGCGGGCATGTTGCTTTACTGGCTGTCTATTATTACGCTGCTCATCTCGCTTTCCTTCTATGGTCCGTAGCATCATCTCAAGTGTCCTGATGTTGGTTTGTCATGGCAACGCGGTCGATGTTCATAACATCAACATATGGCCACAGACACCATGCGGATGTTTTATTTATTATCAGATGCATGCATTTTACCAGCTATTCTTTTCATTCTTTAAATTGTATCGTTTAAAGGTTCTGTTCTGAAAAACGATTAATCAATATTCAAATAATTGTGGATTCATTTTAAGTTGGCTGTATTTGATTGACAGGGAAACAATTGACAAGGGTTTGGATTATCAGTTGTTGATTTAAAATATTTATTCGGAAGTACAAGACCATTCCACCCTTTTTTTAAGGATTGTACGCTTGCTATTTTCTTTGTCCAAAAAACGAAACCATTCAAACATCTCCCCCTTTTTTATTCCGCTTGGTTTTCAGTATGTACACGGAAGTCTAGAAGACCCCAAAACACTTACCCACCACAAACTCGTACACGCTGCTACGGAACGAGTCCTCGCAGACACCAAAACCGTCGCTGATGAAAATCTCAAGGATAAAGGTAAGCTGACCGCTATTGGACGAGATTTAGGAGGTCGGCGTGCCTGCGCTGATCTGACCGTGTTTTATACGCCTTGTAGAAGTTTTGCTGCTCATGAAGAAAAGACCGCCGCCAACCCCTCCAAAGATGGCAGAAGTCAGTTCGGATGAAAAGGTACGTTTTTATCGGCTCTAATGCCGTTGAAAGCTTCCCCTTTCAAATTCTCCATCAGAAATGTGATGACTTTATTTTTCCTGCTTTTTCATTTTTTTTTTTTGTCTTTGCTGTTTCTCCTGGTTGTCTCAGAAGAAACAAGATAACAAGGCTCCGGACAAAGACGCAATTCTAAAAGCCACCGGCAACCTGTCCACACGCCACACCGACCGCACTGTAACCCAGCACAACATCAGAGACGTAAGCCTCCTGTTGGAATGCATTTATCACAGACCAGTGCGCACTCGCTAGTGTGTCAAAGGTTTTGATGTTTTTTGCATTTGTGTTGTTTCAGTTTCAGACGGAGCTGAGGAAAATCCTGGTTTCTCTTATTGAAGTGGCCCAGAAACTTCTCGCCTTGAACCCTGACGCTGTTGAACTTTTCAAAAAGGCCAATGGTGAAACTTCTAACATTTGCGTGGAGTGAAGACACTTTTTACACGGGGCGTAAATTCAACCATGTGTCTATCCATTAATTAATGGCTTTTTGGTTTCTGTGCCTCACAGCGATGTTGGATGAAGATGAAGAGGACCGCGTGGACGAAACAGCCCTCCAGCAGCTCACCGAGATGGGTTTCCCCGAGAGCAGAGCCATCAAAGCTCTTAGATTGAACCAGTAAGCCTCGGTTCAATAACAAGCCACTCGCAACCGATGATGGGACGCGTTATTTACCTCATTGTATCCTTTCTCTCTCCGCAGTATGTCCGTCACCCAGGCGATGGAGTGGCTCATCGAGCACGTAGACGACCCCTCTGTAGACACACCCATACCCGGCCAGGACTCGTCTGGGGCAGCAGGAGCCACAGCCCCAGCCCCGGCCCCTGCCCCGGCGCCGGCCCCTGCCGCTGCTGCTCCCCCTGCCGCACAGGGCCCCTCAGCATCGGGCCCCTCAGCATCGGGCCCCTCAGCATCGGGCCCCTCAACGTCGGGCCCCTCAGCGTCGGGACCCGGTCCGAACCTTCTCCGCAGCCTCTCCAGCCAGTCGAGCACAGAAGAGAGCGTCAGGCAGGACGAGCTCACAGAGATCTTCAAGAGGATCCGCAGGAAACGGGAGTTCAGACCGGACTCTAGAGTGGGTGGCGTCTTCCCGTCGGAGTTTTCACTTAGTTCTTTGACTGTTACTTACTTTTACATTACTCGTCTCTGAGGATTCTGTTTTATTGTTGAGAGAATACTAAAATGTGCCCTAAAGGATAGAAAGCATTTGACGCTTCAGTGGTGGAGTTTTAATATCAACTTGATTGGTTTCATAGTGTTCTTGATCCCCCTTTAAATATGTATATATTTTTTACTCTTCTCTTCTCGCTCCTTCCTTTCCTTCAGGCTGTCATTGCCTTGATGGAGATGGGGTTTGATGAGAAGGAGGTGGTCGACGCTCTCAGGGTGAATAACAACCAACAAGATGCCGCGGTAGGTTCACATGTTCCTGTGCACATTTGAGAAAAGTGACCTTGCTATTCCACTTTTGTTGTTCTGATGGCGAGCGGTGCGGATCGCAGCCATGTGACCGTGAGGCTCGTTGTGAAGGGACGGTCGGTCTCGCGAACACGCCTAAACCTCCATAAAGACATCCATGCATGTTTTGTTTTTTTCTTTCTTCCTGCAGTGTGAGTGGCTGCTGGGAGACAGGAAACCTTCACCAGAAGATCTGGACAAAGGCATCGACACCAACAGCCCGCTGTTCCAAGCCATTCTGGAGAATCCAGTGGTCCAGTTGGGTCTAACCAATCCCAAAACCCTGCTCGGTACGCTCAAGTCCAATTTAGTGGACGTGCCGAGTTAGAAGGTGTTTTTGTAGATGGAAATGCAATTACAAGGAAAATTATACCCCGAATCATATCAATTTGAAATGTTTTCCTATTTTGTTGTGTCCGCTCAGCTGCTAGCTCTTTCTGTGAAAACAGAAAATCACCAGATGTAGCGGACAGAGCAGTAGGCGGAAACCTGAAAGTAATTTAGTAAATGCAAGGAGCTTTACAGAGTGAGGAATTGTATTTGTATTTTGTCCTAGCACAAAATATTGTGTTCTGTCGTCTTTGCTTTAATACCACCGAACCCCCGCCCTCATTTTCAAGTGGTCTCGGTCCGTTTTTTTGTGCATTTTTGAACCAGTGTCTGTTTGTGTGTGTGTGTGTGTGTGTGTGTGTGTGTGTGTGTGCAGCGTTTGAAGACATGCTGGAGAATCCTCTGAACAGCACCCAGTGGATGAACGACCCCGAGACCGGCCCCGTCATGCTCCAAATATCCAGAATCTTCCAGACCCTCAATCGCACATAGAGCTCCCTGGTGACCCCTGTGTGACAGGCAGCTTCTGTGTGCGTGTGTGTGTTAGACCATATTTGTGTGCGTGTGTGCGTGCGTGTGTGTGGCGGAGACAGGAGTATTGTTTTTGCCTCGTAAAGACGACGCTGGAGGAGTCCAAGTATGGATTAAGATGTTACATATATCTATTTATAACAGTACAGTAAAAACACTTATACAAAACAGATGTTGACATAAACATTATTACAGTAATGATATTAGAAAAGGCGATTTAGTATGTTTTTACATTTTAACGAGAACAGTTTATAGTCATGACAAACATGATTTTATTTTATATGATTTCTCCATGTGCAGAAATGACATCAGACATCAATTTAATGTTTACACTTCAAAGAGAACTGTTTTTGTATGTTTTGCAATATTTAAATATCAACTAACAGTTTTGTCCGTCTCTTTAAATTGTTACATTTCATCTGTGGTGAATGTGTGGAAAACTTGTCCGCTTCCCGTTCTGTTCTTTTCTCCCCTTTTTTTGTTTTAGTTTTTTATCAAATGAACTGATCATAATCGTGAGGCTGGCAGGCAAAGTCGAGTGTTACTTTCGGACACATTCTCTCTCTCTCTCTCTCTCTCTCCCTCTCTCTCCCCCATTCGAGCCTGTGAGGTCACTGCAAGCCGACCGCCTCCCAATTTAAAGCGGAGAACCTTCGTCCCTGAGCTTCTTCGAGGATATTTATTTGACTTTCTTGCCTTTTTTTTTTTTTTAGACAAGCTGTACACTAAACTGTTTGTGTCTTAGTCATGTTTTTACAGGAAAACAATATATTAGGTCCGTGTGTTTATTGTCTGTGCTCTTGAATGTCATATTTTAATGTCGCGCTCATTCAGCACTTGTTCACCTCTACGAATATCGCTCACTGCAGCACTTAACGGAGTTAAAAGAAGGGTTCATGTCCCAGATGGCTGACGTGGGATGTTAAATGAAGCTGAGCCTGATCAAAAGGGGGTTTTGCCTTTGTTATCTTTTGAATGATGGAGATGCGCGCTTGCTTTTTTCTGCTGAGGCGTCTCCATACACAAGGAGAGTTTGTCTTTGTTTTCTTTTTCCTTTTCTTTTGACAGCAGTGAACATTTAAAGAAAAATGTCACTATATAATCTGCCTTGTCATTAGTTTTACCCATTGAGAAATCCTCTGTATTTCTGTGCAATCGCAAAGGACTGTTGCCCTGAAAAAGAAATATACTTGTTTTGAGTGTGCAAACTGCAGTGGGTAGCGTGTTCTACAATATTCCCATTTCAGTTCTTCAAATCTCCAGCTACAAGTTGGGCCTCGCCGGGTTGAGCCCACAGTTTAGAACAACGTGGAGGGCGGTGTGTTTTGCCAAGTTTTGAGTGTTTTTATTCGATATTTAAAATGTGGTATTGATGTGACTTTCTGCTCAGGGAGGCTGAGATTGTTTTTCTAAACTTGTCATTATGGCAAACCTCTGCTCGCCCCCTTCTAGTCCGGGCAGTTTCAAATAGCTTTAACTAATCTGTCTGGAACTTCATGGATAAGAGCACTATAAGACATGGTTTTGTAATTGCAATATTTGAAAATATTTAAATGTTTTTAGAGCAAAGTGTCTGTTTGAACTCTTTATTATTACGTTATTTATATCGAAGCCAAACTAGTAACTTGTTCTTATTTATAACATTTTTAGCAAACCTCAGAGCTTATCTACAAATGTGAAAGAAGAAAAAAAAATTAAATGATTCAAATGTTGTTTTTACAAACCATTGTAAAATGTGCTTATGGACTTTGAGGTCTCAGTGTGATTGTGAAAGTAGCGCACCGCAGGGGTCCCGACCCCCCGGCCCCCCCTGTCACAGCCACAATGACCAGCTGCCCCCCCCCCCAACCCAGGCTCGGCATCAGAATACACACACAGCTCTCCGGTTATATCTTGAAACAAACATTGGGAGATTGTACGTTTTCAAAGAAGACGAAACAAGGTCCGAAAGGTGAACGCAGACTCCTTCCGCGGCGGTCAGCAGGAAAGGAACAGAACAAAATGAACTTTATTGCCGAGGGACGCTGAAGGCTCGCTCGAGTCGCCGGGTGTTGTTTTCACTCCGCTTCCACAAGAACTGTCCCCAAATAACAACCTATGCAATATACTCTTGTCTGCTCGCTCAGACGGCCTCACGGCTCCTGGCATTTAAATCACTATTGCATTAAAGTTTTTTTTTTCTTTTGTGGCTGTAACTTCTTGGTATTCTTTGTTTTCTTTTTTAGAAGTGAGTGCGACGAGCGATCATTTGGCACCTGTTACAGGTAAATGATTGACAGGTCGAGTGACATGATGTGTGTCACTCGGCTGCAGGTTTGCATTTCATGGAGATCCATCCGCTGACCTCCGTGAGGGTCAATCTCAGGAAATAATGAAAGGTGAAAGTCTACATGACAGCCTGGAGATGACGCTCTCGCTGGTTCATTTCAAACAAGTTTTAAGGATGTGCAGTTTGTCATTTTCAACGGAATGGCGTCTCCATCAGTTTGAGAGTACTGATGTCTCAGAGGAATACAGACATACACGGGGCAGCTCCTGCATGGAGGTCCTAGTCTCACGTAGGACTTTTAAGACATGATTAATGGATGGCTTACAAATGGAAAAGTCAATCCATCAATTATTACACAGAGAATGAATAAGTGGCTGAATGCACGCGTCTTTTATTTCGTGGAATAAAGGGGATATCGCTTCTTCCATTCATATTTCTATTTGCCACATTTCCCCACTAGGTGGCGTCATTCGTCAACGTCCCAACGACAGAAACGTGGAAGCACATTGTGATCAATTCAAACCGAAATAAAGAAATTACGAAGGAAGGAACGACTGGCCATGCTAGCGGTTCTTGCTCAACTTGTTGAGTAAAAGATCTCAGCACGAGTCTGGTTGTCAAAACGAGTGAAGAAAATCAAAACCCAAGCAGATTTAGAACATGACATAAAATGAGCCACGTCATTGTTTTAGGTTGAAACAAACCGAATGGAATCTAATCGGGGGAGTGAGTTGGCCTTCTGCACTACTGTGATATATTATTGACGGTTGGTTGTTACCAGCGCGCTGGCAGGTAATCACGCATGCGCAGTCTTTGCTCCTACGAATCCTGGGATGGTAATTACATTTCCACGGGCAGAGCGCGAACACACCACCGGTTCTAGCTGCAGATCCCGGACCCAATTATACGTGTGTTTGTTTTGTTCTGTTAGCTAAAATGGGGCGTTTAATACAGATATAAGGATTTTCAAATCGGAACAGCCTCTGTGCACCGGAGAACCCTTCCCTTCCCTTAACCTGCCGTTGGCTTGAGCCGAAAGCCCGCCGCGGAGCGGCGGTCACGCAGGCCGCGATTCGGGTCCCGTTGCTGGGAGGGGACCACCCGGACTCGCCTCCCTCGCTAGCATTATTAGCTGGCTATGATGCGTCGCTGCTGCTGGTGTATTTTCTACCCAGCAGGCCACCGCAGAGCTGTAAGGACCCTCGGATAAGGAGCTAAAAGGTGCCCCGGGAGACACACCACACCTTTTCAAGGTAAAGTCTTCCCAGCTAGCCGACGTCATTCTCCCGTGGCTGTTACGGGACTCGCTAGCGAGCTAACGGCTAGCGGGTAGTGGACGTTAGCCGCTTTACATTTAGCCGTTTAGCTAACATAACGTGAAACGAATGCGTCTCGTCACGTTGTCCCCTAACGGCTCTTCTCTAATTGCAGGCGCTATAATGGTTTAGCTTCACGTAGCTAGTACCGTTAATTAGCCATCACCTAACGTTAGCTTCTTTCATCCAGCCAGCGTTGGGCCGTTAATGGCAACATGGTGACCAGGTGGTGAGGGGACGTTAATGTCCTGGCACCACTCGGCAGGTAACGGTAACACGGCATTGACACCACCGAGCACAGATCACTTTGTGCGGCGGGATAAAGGAGCTTCGTACGGGTGTATTTGTGAGCAGGTGTACGCACTTGTTTTTCGCCAGAATTGGCATCCGATCATAACTAGTGTCCGTAAGTTGCCTTCGACATGTTCACTGTTCATTTAACTAACTTTTAAAGTTACGCTTAATTACCAAGAAAATCCGCCCAGCGTCTTAGTTCCAGCGAAATAGTGGGATGGACATTTACAGTTGAAAGTGAAAGTGCTCCAAGTTTATTTATTTAACTTGAGCCCTAATTGGACCCACACGCCTGCTCCAGGTAATGACAATAACAAACAAACAAAGGGGAGCCGACTATAACAACACCGTTTTGTCTTTATATCACACTGAGGGTGTGAGTACTTTGTTTTAATAATATCCGTAAAGTTTTTTGAGGTGTTTTCTGTGTTTTTGATTCAAACAACTAACGTTAATGTGATAATTAGAAACATTTCGCATTACACACACTGTACCTTTGCGTGCTTGCCACACTGTAAATAATGCCCAGTTTAATTCATGTTTTCAGTCATTCAGGCTAATTGCAGACCCATTGCTTTCTCTCTGTCATCAAGCATTCGCCATAATGAATGTGATCAGGCCAGCAGGAAGAATGCTGCCCTGCTACTTATGTCTCAACCACAAGATATAAGCCTAATTTACTACAGCAGGGAGGATTAACAGCAGCACCCAAAGCAGCACTTTCCTTTTATAATCCGCCAGACGGGGATTTAATTTAGTTGCTCACTGAAGGCTCGCTCTGTTAGAGCCTCTAGACGCTCGCACCCACCAGTTAAATTGCAATTTAGTACATTGTGGATGGCTCATTGTAATTTTGACTATTACTCCTCACTATGTTAAAATCCTGTTTTATATGTGTTCTTATAAGGATGGAGGTTGACTTGTGTGCCGGTGGGGCCAGTACCAGGAGAAAAGTAGACTTGGCCGCGGCTGCAGAAGGGCCGATGGACGTCGTACCGCTGGAGATGTACGACTCTGCCCGAGCAAAAATAGCTGCCAACCTGCGGTGGCTGTTTGCCAAAGCCTATGGCATTGGTAAGTAATTAAATGGACATTCATGCTACTATACAGCTATACTGCATGACTTGATGCTGATAAATCAGCCTATTGCAGATAGCAATAAACAGGTAACACTTTTGTGTGATTGCACAATCCGCTTAATGATTTTTCCTCCACGTTCTCAGTTATATCAGATTCTGTGGTTGAAGCAATGTGTTAACTCTTATCCACTCGCTGCCATCAGCACATTGTTTTAAACCTCAGTGGTGATAGGAAAAGAGGGAGACATATCTATGTGTGCGCGCACTCGAGTCAACAGTAATACCCCCATGATACATGGCAACTGAAGCCTCCCTTACTGACTCATTGCATCCTTTCATTCTTGAGTTTGGAGTTTGAACCCGAATCAGACTGAGCGACAGGCACCGGGGATTAGGCTATATTTGTTGCACTGGACTCACAACATGGAAAATACTGATCTACACCAGTCACTCCCACCCACCGTTAAGAAGCTATCAGCAATAGTAATGGAGCATTTTCCTGTCTTGTCTGTGCTTGCTGGATGAGCAGAATGGATTTCAGGAGAACAAACTCATTTGGGAACAAGCTTTGCTTGCTGCTCATTCTTCATGTTGTTAATGGCCAGTAAAACATCCACTAATATGTTTTCAATGAAAATGATGGGGTAAAGTAGCACAGTCCCCAATCTGTGAAAAATGTATTCAGAATCGTATTCACTAATATGAGGATTCAGCAGTCATAGTTTGTTAAATCAAGTGCATATCATCCAAAGTTTGAAGTTGAAGTTTTTTTTGTATTGAAAAAAACCCTCAACCCTGTCCTCGTGATACTACCATAGCATCTTTGCAATTAATCCCACTTAAAAAAAATTAAATCAATCGGCTAAAAAAAGCAAGAAAGTCTCCAGGTTTTTTTTTAAACTTTCCACTGCTCTCTGAAACGTGCACACTCCAGCCCGATGGAAACACAGAAATGTGTTCCATGGTGTGAGAATGTGGGCCTCATCTTTCTCAGAGAGCCCTCACTCACATGATACATTTTTAGCGTAAAGTCAGACCTGCCAACGGGGAGCATCCTGATGTTTAGCATGTTTTTAAGCTTCCGAAAAGGTCCCTGGGTCAACATCACAGAAAGGGGCTATTGTATTACTGCAGGGCTGCTATATACCTTTTTGGTTTGTTGCACTGTGTATCCTCCTTATCACAGAAGTGAAGCCATGTCAGTGTAGTCCTTCGTTATCGGATGCACGCTGCCCTTTATTTGCTGCTTTGCGTGTCTGTCGTATCAGCGTAGTCTCTGGACAAATCACTTCCTTTGTACTCCGCAGTGTCTTTATATATCGGTGGTCATTACCCAGATGTTGTAATGGCCGATGAAGCATCAAGCAACAGTCAGTGAGATTGGAGTTTTAATGGTAATCCAGGTCTACGGTGGAAATCTACAGTCTCTTTAGCCCAATTTGTTTTTCTTATTTTAGACTAGCAGATCGCTGTAAGGTATTTTACAGCCTCATATTTTCTCAGCGATCATACCAAAGTTTGTAGTGATTTGCTCGCTCAATTTGCCGTCTGTCATCATACAAGCATATTAAAGATGCATCACTGATGAAGATAGGCGGAGATGCTGTTCAGTCCCGATAGAAAACACACAGTCTGGCAGCCGAGAGGGAGGCAACTCATTTGTTTTTCATCCCATGGCTCATACGATGTCTGCTACGTAGCTAATGTTGCACAGTTACTAGCTCTCGCATTGATTGACAGACGCAAAACAGTGACGTAGTTCTTCTTAACCAAAGTGGGGCTAACTCGCGATGTTGGACGTATCCATCCGCGCACGGCCCCTCTTACGTCTTTAATCATGCATGTCTGTGTTCGTAGACGTCGTGCTCCCCAGTAATGCAGCCGCTCCCGGCCTGAGCGGCAGCCAGACACACAGAGAGAGCGAGCGAGCACATGTCTCTGCCTCGTGCCGATCGTGTTGTGGTGCTGTTCACGGTTAGCTAACCTCGCCGTAACACATCTGGGGTGTTGTTGCCAAACCCCATCCCAGTTAGAAGATTTTTCAGGCTGGTGGCAGAAGGTTTTATTGGGTGGGGGGGGGTGAGCTGCCACACAACATCAGTATCTTAGGAATGAAGTCAAACGTGAAGTCTCGCCCCAGCCAGACCCCTTTTGTTTCCATACACCATCCTTCCCACTGTTCTAGTGTGTTCATGTACCCGACGCAGCTCTTCAGGAACGGAATGGATTTATGCTGTTGTACAATGACATACTAAATTGCACCATGTTTACGGAGGCAGATAACACACCGGGGAGGCCGGTGTTGTTAACGCATGTGGAATACAGCGTGTGGGATCGATGTGACCTGAGCATTAGCGCCTACTGACAAGGGCTGCATGCTTAATCTTTCCTTTGATACCTTTTTGTCTCTCTCTTCCATTAAAACACGTTGTCATTGCTGCATTGACAAAAGGATTTCATACATCATAGCAAAGGCTCAGAGTATTTTTGTATAAACTATTACAAAAGAAGGATCAGGACATCCCCACTCTTCTTTAAGTTGATCCTGTGATGATCACAGGCAGCAACAAATGCGATGAGACAAGTGCAACATTTAGTGTTCCTGTGATTCCTCCCGAGCGAAGATTCAATGTGTTTGAAACATGGAAACCTACCTGTGATGCTGAATGGCATCTTATCCAATCCTGGTTCTGAGTAGAACATGTTCGGGCCATAGTTCATGTTTTCAGTCATTGTGGTTGGTAGACAACTGTCTAGCAACCAAGCAAGAAATCACTTGGTTGGGTACGTCTGTTTATAGTGTAATAATCTTTGCCTACGTATTCTTTACATCCTTATGTGTGCTGCTCTGGGCTTTGTCTATTATTGTCTTCAAAACCAGCTGCAAGTATCCTCCTTCCTGTTGTTGTTAGCAGGAGATTGCTGGCGAGCGGCTCCCTCTTATCTCTCCACTCAGAGCAGCCACTAAGAACACATTGCATGCACACATACAGCTTGTGCTGTGTTACTGGAGCTAAAGCACAGTTCAATAACATATTTAACAGTTCTGGGTCCTTTCCTCCACGCACCGTTTTTGCGAGGTGCAGGTTTTAGGACCTGTTTTGTGCATCCTGTTAGTGCTATTTTAAGGCTCCGTGTGGTTTACAACACTGTATAAACTTGGTTTGTGCATGCCTGAATCCCAGCGCTCCGTCCCTCGGCCTTATATGGCTGTGATTTCTGGTTTTGAGAGTGACCTCACATCCAAAGCAACAGTCTCTCTAGTGCATGTCATTGTTTTCTCTTTTTTTGGGCAGGGGTCCAGCACTGTTAAGTCGTTGCTGGAAAAGCTCACTGATTCACCTGAGAGGCCCACGTCCACTGAGGACTCTGAATGAATAGCCTGTAACTTCTAGACCCAAATGTTCATGTTCGCTCCAAGTAAATAGAACAAATAGTACTTGGGAACTTGATGCATCCCTGCAGCATGATTTCTCTAGATAATAATCTTCCTGTCGGTGTCTTATTATATTATCTTACCAGCTGACCCGTATGAATGTCTTTGATTCAGGTCGCTATTTGAAAGCCAAACCGCACACACTGCTTTAGGAGCGCATGGCAATGCCTCCTGGTTCACCTCCCCCCCCCCCCTTCTTTCAATGGCAGACCATATTCCAGAGGACTTGCGGGACCCCTTCTACACAGACCAGTACGACCAGGAACACATTAAGCCGCCTGTCATCCACCTGCTGCTGTCCTGCGAGCTCTACTGCCGGGTCTGCGCCCTCATCCTGAAGACGGAGCAGGCGGCGTCTCTTCAGTCCCACCTCTCGGTCATCCAGTCGCTCTCCAGAAAGGGCATATATGTTGTGGAAAGTGACGACACACCGGTCACAGACGAGGACCTGGCCTGCGCGCCCATCAAAATGGTGAGTGGGGCGGCTCGAGGTTGAGCCGGACGTTTTGGGAGTCACCTGAAAGATGTTGCACAAGCTGTGGGAGAAAAAGGGAACCGGGCCTGAAGCGATACCAGCTTTGCACATCACCTTTGGTCTTTGCTTCTCATGTGTTTTTATTTCACTATAGTGAAGGCAGAAAAAGTGGCTACTGCTTTTATTGAGATCCAGCAGTGGAATCAATTTCCACCGTAGGCGTGAGAGGCACTGGGAAGCTTCTGTCTAGTGTTCATAGTAACTAAAACATTGTTTATAGGCGTGACATCTCCATTATTAGATTTTCTTTTTTGCCTGTTAGTGAGTTCTTCTGCTTGACTTACTGGAGCTTTCTCAAGATTATTTAATTTATTCATTCAAGATAGTCTTGCTAGTCGTGCAAGGATAATCACTATTGTGCAAATGTTCTTTGGCACCTAAAAAGATTTGAATATATATTTTCCACATATCTGGTATGTATATCAAAACTACAATAAAACATCTGCCCGTGTCCTTTCAGAAGAGGCAGTTCAATCATCATTGATAATACTTCTGAGAATAGGTTTGGTTTTTGATGATATCTGTTCGCTCTTAGGAAATTCATACCTGTTTTGTTCTTGAATGCCCAGTTTAAAAAAAAGCCTTTTTTATCCTTTTATTGTGTCTCTGCCTGAATGTCCTCACCTGAGTCAACAGCACCACGTCAGAGCATAGTGAATGACTTACAGAGCAGCCCCTCCCTCCCTCCACACGCCCCCCTCCCTTCCTCCACTCCCTCTGTTGTCCAATGTCTCTGAATTTTACTTAACACGGGGTTGAATGAATGCCAGGCAGCTCCATTGCTCTGTCATTTTCATACCCTTCTTGTTGCCATGGCAACCAGCTATGGTGTTGGGCAAGCCTCGATTCTGCAGGCTGTGGCTAGTTTTCCTGCTAGCCGTCTGACGAAATAATCCATGCCGGTAGCCAGACACAAAGCCCTGTGAAGGGGCTGGAAAATCCCAAGCAGGACTCCGCTTATCTCTGATACACTGTTGGAACCCAACCCCCAACCCCTCCTCTCCCCCTCTGAGTTTGCTGACTTGACATGGTGTTTCCATAGCAGCGTTTTTCTACTTGTGTGTTGGTGTTTGTGTACCTTGTCTGACTCTTGTTGGGGAAACCGCTGGGTCTGTTAAGCCTTGAGAAGCCAGCCTCTCTCTTTAGACCATTTAAAGCTGTGCGTGCATGCTGTCTGTCATACACGGCTCAGGGCGACCGCAGCTCCCTCTGTGGGGCTCCACAGCTGCACTGATGAAGAGGAGAGTGAGTTTAGGTTGAGAAATGAAGATTCTGCATGTCATGGTGTAGGATTTTGTTTATTCATTAGCATATATTCACAATAGCAATGCTTTTGGGTGGTTTATGTATACATTTTACACGTATACGTTAAAAATTAAGCTTGGCTAAACAGAAGCTATTATATGAGTGAATCCAATGAGCCAGCAAAACATGAGCAGCCTTTAGTTTCCTTTAAGCACAGCCTTAATCCTCTCTTAGCTCTCATTCTTTTGTTAATGATCCTAACCTCTGTGCTCTTGCATCATCAATTGGATTAAGCCAGCAATATGTCATGTGAAGCACTGATTAAAAAATGAAATTTATGCATTTGCTTTAGAATGGATTTAAGTGCAGCATCATTGTGATGTTGTGCACTAGTAAATATCCTTTAGCAATCAACTCTTGCGTAGAATGAGATTCACAAAAACCCAAATAGTGTTTTGCAAGCTGCTGCCTGTGTTTCCCTCCCTGGCTGTGAAGGAGAGTATTTTACTGGTAGGAACTAGGTGTTTGCTCTCTTATAGTGGGGATAAGCCCCCGCTGGGCCTCTTGGTTTCATTATGATATAAAGTGCGGGTTTAAGGGCCGACACCCACTGAGCTAAATGAGAAGTGTCACCTTTGATTAAACTGTGACGGGTTATTTCAAGCTACGCAATTGTGTCGGAACCTCGGGATTGTCCCACTAGGATTCTGAATGAGACCGCATCCTTATCCGTGGATCGCATCTATTTGTCCTCACACAATAGTGTCTGTTCCTTCTCAGAATCCACTGTGGTCACTGACTCTTCATTACGTAGTGACCTTCAAATTTTTCAATATCGGGGAAAAAGTAATAATAGAGTTATGATTGAAACCAACTGGTTCTCATTGCCATGACACGGGTAAAGGAATTTTAGTTTGACTGTCTTGAGTCTTTTGATAACAAGTTCTTTTAGCCATTGTTTGGATTGGAAGTTCCAAAAAACAGACATCAAATCCACAGAGCAATGATCCTAGTTTGATATGTGCAATGGTACAAATTAACATACTGTGAAAGCCCCCTGTATGTAAGGCTGAAACACTGCTCTCCTCTCACCCAGAGCGCTCACATGCCAATGATCGATGCCCTCATGATGGCCTACACGGTGGAGATGATCAGCATCGAGAAAGTGGTGGCTTCTGTCAAGCGCTTCTCCACCTTCAGTGCGTCCAAGGAGCTGCCCTTTGACCTGGAGGACGCTATGGTCTTCTGGATCAACAAGGTTGAGGCGCGCACACACACACACACACACACACACTAGACTAGAAAGGTGTACATGCACAGAGTGCAGGTCTGCACCCGGTGCATCTGCAAAAGCTGCTGATGTGTTGTGTGATGGAATAAATACAACCTACAATTGTCTAACCCCTCATCTAGACACCAATAGGGTGTAAGGCGTCATTCAAATTCAAAATAAGGGCCTGTGTATACGTACAGTCAGCTAGAAGTTGTTATACACATCCTGCCCAAAACAAAATGACTCCTGTCTGTCTGTGTGACGGTAATGTAATCGTGTGTGTGTGTGTTCGTAGTTCTGTTAGCCAAACACAGCGTGAAATTGTGGTCTGAATAATCTGTTTGACGCTGACGTTCTAGGCGGCAGTGGCCCGCTCGTTTCCTTGAGGCCTGCAGGTCACTGCGGCTCGCAGACGGGCCACCGAATAGGAGTGTTGGTCTGCTGCACACTTAAGAGATCGAGGCTCATGTTGCACTCGTCTTTCAATGAGTTGAAGGCCAAAGCTGCAAAAGCTGTGACACAGTGTGTCCAATAATAATCACAACGACCCGCTGTTCATTATTGAGCCCATAAAACGTGTCTATCAATATGTACGTGTCAAATATCACCACCAGTAAATAAATCGCACTGTGCAGTCACAGGAACACGCCTCAGGGAAGAAAAATAGGACACTCTTTTTTTCTTTTTTTTAAAACAAGTAAGGTCACTTCCAAAGTAAGGTTGAGCATGCACACAGTGAGCTGGCTTACTGCCGAGCATGTGAACACATTCTTCAATCGCCTGGATAATCTGGTTTCTGTAAACGCCCTCCTTGTTTCTGCTGCAGGTGAACACGAAGATGAGGGAGCTTACGGAAAGGGAGCACAAAGTAAAGCACCACCCCCTGGAATCCCCCAGCCACCAAAAGGTAGAGCCACTCCCAGTGTCTCCCACACCCGAGAGAAAATACCAGAGCTAGAATGACTCTGCAAGTAGCTTCATAATACTGTTCTTTTTTTACAATACACTTTTTAAACAATTTATTCCCTTGGTCCTCATCCAGGTGTCATCGCTGCAGATCTTTGTCAAAAACTTGGTTCATGACACAAATCGCGTAGTGTTGCCGGAAGGAATGCAGTTGTTCTGAAGTCGCTCTGGTTTTCTGTTTACACTCAAAGCGGATCAGATCCTTTTGTCTCCTCTGACCTGTTAACGTCTCTGCTCCTGTTCCTCATCTGTCCCTCCCTCCCTCCCCTCTCTTATTCCTGCAAACTGGATAGTCTCCCTCCAAATGGTATTGGAAGCTAGTCCCTGTAAGTTGGATGCCAGCAGCCAATCCCCGCCCACCCCACCGCCCATAACCCCATCTTCTTTCCTCTCGCCCCCCCGTTGCACGCGGAGTATTGTGTTGATGTGCGCGCACCCACACACACAAACACCCAACCATGGCTCATTCAGGCTCATTCTGTGCTGCTTGTAGCCCGGGTCGGAAAAGGGGGAGAAAGCTGACGGGTTTCCCCCTCCCCCCCTCGTGGCAAACATGGTGGAAGGCTACTCCGCCCTGCTGTGAAGTGTTCAACAGATATTCGTTCAGCTTCGCAACCTGTGCCACCACATTACAAGCTCAAGTACGCCGTGTTGATTTGCCGTGCGTGCGTGCGTGCGTGCGTGCGTGCGTGCGTGCGTGCGTGCGTGTGTGGTAGCTCCATGCCTCCGCCTCCCCTTGGCTTTGCCGTTCCATCCCTGGCCACCTCCTCTCACTGATCTGCTTTGTCATCCCCCCCTCTTCCGGCGCTCTCTTCTCTCTCTCTCTCTTCTGCTCCGACCCCCCCGTTTCCTCTGATTGCACACGGTCTCCGCTGACAGTATCTCCACTCTCTCCTGTGTGCGTTAGCCCGATGTTGTGCACGAGCTGGCCCACTGCATGCTGGAGCCAGGGGAGCTCTTAGAAGCGGTACGGTGTTCCCTCTTCGTCGGGGGGGAAGTTCATTTTTACGTAGAGCTTATTCTGTGGTGGAGTTCCTGAGGGTTGGATGAAGTTTTGCCTGTGAATGGATGAAAGCTGCCGTAGTACAGTTGCTCTAGTTTCCTGTGTTCTGATCTTCTTAAATCGTCAATAGTCGTCCTGTGGTTTCTGTGCTAGACTTTGCCGTCTTTGATCAGTGTGTTTAAAATAAAGCTTTGATCTTTTATTGAAGGCTCCCTTAGAGATATGTTTTTCAACCAAGGAGATGCCTAATGAGCAAATTCACTTGTCAGGGCCCTTTGGCGAACAAACCAGGATGTAATGGTGGCTTTGTTTTTGAATGACCTCAAATCTAGTTTCATACTTATTTCAACCCTAATGTCCGCCGCAGTTCCAAATTCAGAAACGTCAGATGGATTAGTCATTACATACTGAGTTCATTTGTAACTTGTACTAGGTGAATATTTCCTTTGCCACGCAGAAACAGTTTGGAGTTATAAGCTGCAGCAGCAGTCCGTTGAATCCTGTGTGATTTATATTTGTGTTGCTCCAACTCCTATGTATCATATGCAGGTCTGCAATTGATCCACATTTCTAGTTTCTGTAATGGTTGCACACCATTTTCAGCCTAAATTATGAGTGGTTTGTACTTAATCAATTGATGCATGTTTGCCATTTGAAAAGCCCCCCTCTTACCAGCTGTAAAATTGCAGCCAGAGCTGTTGCATCTGTAGTGAGTGAGTTCCCATAAGTGGGACAGCGATTACCCCAGTTTCTGTCCCACTCAGCTGGGTCCCGCTGCTCAGTTTAGCTTAGCTCCTCTGCTAGCCGCCTTCCATTGAGGCCTTAGGAAGGCTGACCATCCACTGCGTCCTTCATATCACTGCTCTCAGCACCTCCATCTCCTCACAGATACCCAGGTCTTTGGGGTTCTCCCTAAACTGCTTGGTCACGAGCAGCAAGGCTTTGTCTAGTAGTATGATCTTACATTACATACCATTTATCAGCCTCCTTTTCTTTGACACCACAAGGGAGAACCTTGATTAGATGCTCCAAAGCCTAAAGCAAGTGAAACATCCGTGATCAATATATATGCCTTGACTAGTTCAGCCGTGAATCTCCCAATGAAAGAGATGGGTGTTTGTGACACTAGTCAATGCATTTAGGATGTTTTATGTGGTGCAATCTGTCCTTAGTACCATCGTGGTGTTTGCCGCTGCTGTTGCTCTCCTTCTAATGAAGCCCCCTCCTCCCCCTCGTGGTTAGGTACGGTATCGCCGGGAGCACACTTCGGGCCGTCAGCTGCCCTTCTTCCCTCTGCTGGAAAACCTGATGAGAGATGTTTGTGACGGAGCCGCGCTGCTCACTGTGGTCAACTACTATTGCCCAGACCTCATGAAGCTAGAGGGTATGCATGCATGCACTGTCCCACACTTACAGACCCCCCCCACACACACACAAGAGCTAAGTTGTTATCAGCTGCCCTTGAAGAAAAGCTTTCTCTGCTAACACATTGACTTGTATACTATATTTGGCACTTGCACACGGCTTACTGTCCCAGTCAGTGAGACATTTATAGCCAGCAGTTCTTTGAGTTGTGTCCCGATGTGACTCTGCTCTCTGCCTGTCTCACCAGATATTTGCCTGAAGGAAGTCCCCTCCATTGCAGATAGCTTGTACAACATTCATCTACTCAAAGAGTTTGCCAACGTGTATCTGAATAAAAGTTTCTATCTGACCATAGAGGACATGCTCTACTCGCCGCTTGTGCTCAAGGTATTATAAAAAGTGTCATTATAATCATTTGCGATCAAAATCTACTTCTAAAATGTAATTCAGAAACCCAGCTATCATATTGGTGCCGGTGCTGACGTCACTGTTTTACCTGCTTTACTGATTTGTCAAATAACCACTTGAGTGGGTGTCTTGTGCTCTCTATGCAGCACAATGTGATGGTGTTCATCGCTGAGCTCTTCTGGTGGTTTGAGACCGTCAAGCCGGAGTTTGTCCAGCCCAGAGATCTCCAAGAGTTCAAAGATGGTAAGCATCCCCGTGTGATGACCACAGCATGTAAATCTTTCCTTCTCTCAGAGTAAATCACCTGCTGGTAATGGCTTGGAAATTTAAAAAGAAACTGCGTTGTAAATTAAGAAAATCTAAAACATCCCTGAACGAGTCGGTAGAGCCGGACATTCTACGCTGCGATTGGCCAATCTGTGTTTGAGGGGCGAGACTTAATGGAAGGTTAATTGAACCGTTCTTACAGACTAGTAACTTGGTGTCTCATTGGTATAAAAAAAAAAACACACTCTCCCTTGATGTTTGTCAAATGTCATACAGGATTCAGCATGCTTGCATTAAAGTGCCCCTTTTTTTCTATTATATTTGGATGTGTTGCGATTTTTTTTAATGACTGGCAGTCTCAGCTTGTCCAGCTCTGTACGCAGCCGGAGGAGAAACAACGCGCCATTGAGCAGCAGGAGACGCTGAAGTGTTGAAACGAGGCTCACTCTTTCTCCCTCCTTTTCGTACAGCTCGAACCGTTGCTCAGCCCAAGAGTGCCCGCCCATCAGTGCCTATCTCCAACGCCACCAAGCGCAGCTTCCTGTCCAGCCCCGGTTCGGCCGATAACCTGAGCAGCCCCGAAGTCTGCAACAGGTACTTCCTGCACCCCGAAGACTCTGACCCCCTGTAAGTCTTCTCACGCAATTCGCGTTGTTTCGTCTCGTCGTGATCCCGTCTCCTAACCAGTAACCGTAGCCCTAGAAGGACGGGTAGATATGCAGCGTTGTCTGACCTTTGTGCTCCTGTGCCTCACACCCTTAACCTTCTTTTCACCACACCAAAAAAAGAGGAGATTATTGCATTTTGTCTTTGTCTGAGTTTGCATTGTAAGCGCTTGTGTGAAAGTTCGGCTTGCAACCTTAAAGCTGGGGTGAAGAACCATTGGCACCACCCCCCCCTCCCGGCACTGGATAGGTAACCATACAGGCGACACTACTGATGGAGCAGCAGCCGGCAGAATGCTGGAAGCTTTTGTGGCAGCTTTTCAGAAGCAAAGAAAAGCTTCTGAACTTGATGTAACCAGATAATAAGAAACTCAACCGTGGGTCAAAAAAAAAAAAAAAAAGAAATACAAAAAGCGACACTTGGAAAGATTACCACTAGTGCCCAAGCAGGTGGGGTGAACTCCCCTTTTAGGCATGCCTGCCCCAGCGTGGGACATTTATGGAAGAAACCAGGCACCACAGCTGTACCTGGCGGGGCTCTGCTTAATCAGCCTTAACTGTGTGAAGTCTCACTCTCCAGCTTTAAAGGATCCTAAACTGTCAGCTGGGATTTCTTTCATGCTACTTTGTCTGTTGCTTGTTGAAGTATTTGCCTTTTCTCTGTATTGACAAATCGTCAATAGTGTTTGAAAGACGGTTATTATATATTCTGTTCTTTTTTCGGCTTTTAGTAAAGGCGGCCCAACCTTCAGTCCCTCCCACCCGCTCCTGCCCCTCAGACAGAGGCAACAAAAGCAGCAGGGAGAAGATGGTGCAGGTGGGGACAACGGATGAATATGAGTGTGACCCGCAGCTGTTTGTAATCGTTTTTACATTTATTGCTTTTGTGTCTGTTTCTGGTAAGGTCTCAGAAACCGCTCCAACTCCCTGACTCAGATGGACGGCCCGCCCCGAGCTTCTGTGGTTGCGTGGCCCGACAAGAGGCAGAGGTACATCCAGTAGCTCAATGTAAAACCTCAAATGAGAAACACATTTAGATTTAAAATGACTTATTTCCATTTGGCAGTCCATGCGCCACTCTGAAGGTGAGAAGATGACACCTTTTGTAAAGCTCAGTGGGCCGTGTAGTAAATCTGCTGATAAATATTTAAATGGTAATTGATGCAAATGTACTTTGATTAGAGGTTCACTTCCTGTCCAGCTTTAGCATCTACAATATAATTTATACGGCAAATATATTGGCTGTTTATACATGTTTGTACAGCTGCAATGGTTTGCAGATGTTTAAAGAAGAATACAATCATATTTCTCCTTCACAACTGATCTGCAAGTACTGTTCAGGAGTCCGCTGTTTGAAAATCAAAAGCAGCATTAAAATTGCAATTGATGCCTCTCTAATAAAAAGCATTGAGCATGACAATAGAAGTAGTTTAATTAAACGTATGTGGCATATATTGTAAGCTGTATATCATGCTCATATTTCTCATTATCTCCTCCTGCAGACCAGTGTCCACGCTGAACCCCTACATGTTCCATTCGGTCGCAGACAGCGATGCAGACGTGGCCTCTGGGGACAGTGTGAGTCTTGCTCGCTCCATAAGTAAGGACAGCCTGGCGTCCAACGTCGTCACGCCCAAACACCAGACGTCTGTCCACCAGTCTGCGCAGGCGGCCACGCGCAGGCTCAACGGCCACACCCTCCTGGGGAACGTCCACATGGAGGATGGGGAAGAGACTCTGGCTGCAGTCGCGAGGGCCGATTCTCCCGGCACCCCCAAACGGGTCGACGGGACGCGAGCAACTGCCACGGCGGGACCCAAACCATCCACGGAGTCCAAGCCGGCACCCGATAGCTTTTACCTAGAACCGCTGATGCCTTCTGTGATCAAAACGGCGAAAGAGAAGTCTGTATGTCTAAACAAGCAGGAGGAGAGTGGTGAGGGGCCCCACGTTTCGGGAAGGGGCTCCCTACGCCGAGGAGACGGGTCTACGTCGGCCGTTCGTAGGAAAGCCCCCTGCGGCTTGAACCAAACCTTCCCCCCTCCCGGTGAGCTGTTTGACTCGTCGGGGGAGCCTCCAAACGATCAGGGGGATTTCTGCCCCCTCGTTTCCAGCAGTGTGGTCCCCTCGTCCAGAGAACCACCTGAGGGCTTCTACCTTCGCTTGGATTCTGAAGAACCAAAGCCTGCCCAGTGCCTGGACGCTGAGCTGGAAGACCTGGACGAGGAGGAGGAGGATCTGGATGAAGCTCTCACCACTAAAGACCCCAACTGGTCCAGGAAAGCTCCTAATGATGAAGAAGAAGAATCGGCCAAACTCCAAGAGGACATGAATGTGAAAGAGCACGAGGACAAAGACCTGAACGGTGGCAGCGGTCGCTCCAGCCCGTGTCTCAGCGGTCACTCCCAGGCCAGCGGCAGCGTGCGCATGACCTCCTTCGCCGAGCGCAAGGCCCAGCAACAGCGCTTCGGCAGCAACCATGACCTGCGCTCCAGTGCCTCCAGCTCCCAGCGGACGACTCCGGATGGATCGGAGAGCAGCGGGCCCCTGGCTTCCTCCTGGAGGCTCAAACGGGACCAGAGCCCCTCGTCCCCCTCGGGTGGGTGCATCCGCGATGGCGGCGGCGGCGGCGGTTCCAACGTACTGGCTTCTGAAATCGTCCAGCTCCGCATGCAGCTGGAGGAGAAGCGCCGTGCCATCGAGCACCAGAAGAAGAAAATGGAGGTGCTGTCGGCGCGGCAGCGGCAGAAGCTGGGGAAGGCGGCGTTCCTGCACATCGTGAAGAAGGGCGGCGGCGGCAAAAGCGACACGTTGCCCAACCCGCTCCGAGCGGACGTCTCCAGGGGGGAGCTCGGTGCCGAGAGAGCACCCACAAGTAAAGACGACACGTGCGTCGGCGCCCTCAGGGGGGATAAAGCTGCGACGGGAGCCGCCTCGCCAGCTGCCTTAGACACAGAAAAGAAGGAGCCCAGCGGGAGCTTCCACGTGGAAGAAGAGTTGGACCTGAACGAGTGCAGCCGCTCCATCGATCTGCTGAACGACGCCATCGGCAGCATCCAGCAGCAGATGATGCAGCTGTCCATGCAGCAGGACATGCTGATGAAACAGAATGTACAGTCCCCGTCCGGCCCGGCCCCGTCCGGCCCGCCTGCGGCTCCGCCGGTCACCGCCGACAAAAACGGCGAGCCGAAGGGAAAGGCCGGCTTTCACTTCGTGGAGCACATCTCCGGCGGCGGGAGCGTCACGCCCACCAGGAAGCCCCCCAGGCTGAGCTCAGGCCGGGGACCCCGATCCAAACCGTCGGAGCTGAAGATCGCCAAGGAGCAGGGCCGCCAGGCCTCCCGGGCCCTCACCCCGACCAAGAGCGGTGCGGAGACATTGTCACACCTAAAGCAGTCGGCCGGGGGCAGGTCCCCCAGGGCCGAGCAGCCCGGCAGCCCCAGGAACCCCCCCGCAGGAGACGCCGTCGACCGGCCGGGCGCCGGCCACGCCCGGAGCGCCAACTTCCGCCTTCACGACGAGGCAAACATTCGCCTGCCGACCCGCGTGGACCCGAAGGCCGCCGTTTCCCCGGACGCGTTCTTTGACGAGTGCCTGTCCAGCTCCCCGAGAGGGTCCGACCTCAACTCCTCAGACGCCTCAGGGAAGGAGAACGTCCCCTCAGACGAGCTGCAGCGCAGCAGAGCCACGCTGATCGAGGTCGACCTGTCCGTGCTGAAAGCGCCCGAGGACGGGGAAGATGGCGAGGACTCGGCGGACGGTGATGGAGAGCAGAAGTCAGTCATGGGCTTCTTCTTCAAGGTAATTCCTTCATATGGAAATGGAAGTATTTATTTTTTGTTGCAGTGGGAATGTGTGAATTGCGCTGGTCGAATTGACCCAACAACACATTGGGTTTCTTGTTTTTTTTTTGTAGGATGAACAGAAGGCGGAGGATGAGCTCGCTAAGAAGAGGGCGGCGTTCTTGCTGAAGCAGCAGAAGAAAGCGGAGGAGGCTCGACTCCGAAAGCAACAACTAGAATCCGAATCGGAGCAGAAGCGGGACGAAGTCAGGTAACTTGTCCACATTAGCAGAGGATTTAGATTTAGTTTGTCCCAAAGAAATAAAAAAAGATGCTGACAGTCGTTTGGATTCCAAACCAGACGGAAGGCCGAGGAGGACCGGCTGCGTAAAGAAGATGAGAAGACGCGGCGGGAGCTGATAAAGCAGGACTATCTGCGGAGGAAGCAGCAGGAGATGTTGGAGGAACAAGGCCTCGTGAAGCCCAAAACCCCCAAACCCAAGCAGAAGCACCGGCCCAAGTCCGTCTTCAGAGAGGAGTCTTTGGGCGACAATTTCTCCAAGTCCTCTCCTCCCACACGTAAGATGGTTACGTCGTCTGTTTGTTCATTCGCTTCCTCCCAACTGAGCTTTGGGGCAATAGTGTTCTACGGCGATCGTGCCACATCGAGTCACTTCTTTAAACAGAAAATCCTTAATGAATAGAAATTCCAAAATAAAATGCTGCTGAGCAAAAAGAGACCAACGAGATGGAGCTTTCAGTTTTTCTGTTGCTCAGAAACGACAAACTAACAAACTCTGTTTGACGCAGCCGACAACCTGAGCAACGCCCAGTCGGGCTCCAACCTGTCGCTGGCCTCCGCCGCGACCAACGAGGCCGACAGCGTCAACTCCGGAGGGGGCGGCTCTCAGCGGTAAGCCGCTCGCTAGTCGGGTCAAATTCCGCGTGGTGTGTTTTTCTTAATGTTTGCGATAGTTCCGGTATATTCTGTTTACCCCATGCGCCCCCCCCCCTTCACCCCACCCCTCCCACTGTGTCTTCCAGCTGCGACTCGGTGGAGTCGTTCCCCGGCAGTCGTAACAACAGTCGAACCGCAGAAAGGGACTGGGACAACGGCTCCACCGCGTCCTCCATCACCTCCATGGCCGAATACACCGGTGAGCGCCGTGCGAGGATTGAAGTCTGAGTTTGTTGTTACATTTATTGATCAGGGAAGAAAGTGGACAATTGTTGCATGCTGAGGAAACTATTGCATGAGATCTAATGGGCTTTTCTCCTTTTTTTTTTTAGGTCCCAAACTTTTTAAAGAGCCCAGCGCCAAGTCGAATAAGCCGATCATCCACAATGCGATCTCCCACTGCTGCTTGGCGGGCAAAGTCAACGAGCCTCAGAAGAACCAGATCCTAGAGGTCAGTCCTCCGATATACCTGGAAACATGTGGCAGTGACCTTTGATTTGAATACAGTCTAAAGGGGATTTAAGCAAGTCATGAACTCGACAAGGTTCCATTACTGTTCCTGATATACGTCCCAGTGAGGTGACCCATACGACTTCTTACTGTCCTTAAACATGACGTTTTGACAACACAGCAGGAGACATCTTTGTGTCCATCTTTGTGATCCCAATGTGGGATACACTTTTCCGCTCGAGACGTAACACGGGTCTGGGCAAGCTGTGGGTTTAATTTAAGAAATAGCCCATTAAACAGTTTCAGTTAATCCCAAAGTGTCTCAATCATTTTCATTACTTCAGCATTCTATCATATGAATTCTCATTATTGTCCCTCGCCCCTCTAGGAGTTGGAGAAGTGCGAGTCCAACCACCTGATGATCCTGTTTCGCGACGGCGGCTGCCAGTTCCGGGCGCTCTACTCGTACTTCCCCGACACGGAGGAGATCCACAAGCTGACGGGCACGGGACCCAGGAGCATCAGCAAGAAGATGATCGACAAGCTGTACAAGTACAGCTCCGACCGGAAGCAGTTCACCGTCATCCCCGCCAAAACCGTGTCCGTCAGCGTGGACGCCGTGACCATCCACAACCACCTGTGGCAGGCCAAGAGAGGTGGCGTGCCAAAGAAAAGCGGAAAATAGCCGACAGCCGGATTTCAGACCCTCCTCTTCTGCCCCCATCTCGCTTACTTCCCGATTAGACCGCATTGAGGCCCGCAGCCGAGCTCGCCGCCACGCTGGGGCGAGGCCGCAATTGTAGAGTTGCGGCCCCCAGTAGGTAAAGAGGGAAACGGCATGTGCGTGCGTGTGTGTGTGTGTGTGCGTGCGTGTGTGTGTGTGTGTGTGTCACGGGTGGTCTGAGGGACTGGTGCCGGCTGGATTTGCCTCTTCTCCCAGTGAGTCTCCCAGTCTGTTTTTATACGACGACCACCAACAACTCCACCATGTGGCAACATCTCCTCTGCCCCGCCCACCCCCCCCCCCTCTCCGTTTCTCATGCGCGGTGGTGTACATTTGGTGTTTTTTTTTCACATGAAGTATTTATTAGTTCAGCACTGTCATGGTCGAGAGCTGCAGCACTTAAAGTCCTTTTCAGACGCCGTTCCTTTAGGACTCATTGGGACAAAAGGAAGGGGCATCGGGGTAATTCTGTCTCGAACCCTTTAGGACTGCCAGTCGGCTCAACAACCATCTCTTCCTGCGTGGACGGTGGAAGCTGTCGAATCAGGCTGGCATTGCCGAATTTGCCTCACCAGGGATCTCCCAAAAAAACCAACCTGACGACAACCTGCTGCTCTGAACCGTCTTCTTTGGTCAGCGGGGAGCTGCTCAGGTCTCCCCCAGACATCCATTGGCCTTTCACGCATCGTGGCACTGTCGTCTGTCCCTTCAACCGCTTTTTAATACTAGACGCTGATGGTGTAGCGCTCGGTGTGCGTATAGCAACTAAGGAAAGGTCAACTACGGTCATTACTAAATACTAAAAAAAGGCCAAAGGATAGATTTTGGTACAGAAATGATGCTGTTTTTTCTGCCTTTTTTAAATTCCTGTTGTAATTAAAGCGTCTGAGCTGATGTGTTTTCATCACAACGGATATTCTCTGATGTTTAGAGCTTAGTTGTGTTTCCTCGCTCCACTCGAGTTGTGCCGTATGAAGGTTCACGCTCATGAACACTTGTCGACGGCATCTTTCATGCAATGTAACCACCATGCCCCCCCCCCACCCCCCTGGTGTCGCTGTGCAGCCGCTCTGATTGGCTGTGATGTGTGTGTGTGTGTGGGCGGGACAGGGAACCAACATTAAAGAACATTCCTCCAAGGCGTTGATGACTTCTGCCATGTTCTCTTCTCTGTCTTTGAAAAAAGGAAAATCTTAAGTGCTTTGTTTAGAAACCGTTTGTTGGCCTGGAGAACGACCAGTGTTGCACGAGCACTTTACTTTCTGTTTGTAGGGGATTTCACCCTCTTAATGGCGTAACAACTAAGAACTAATCGATAACACTGCTGTTGATATTGTTTAAAGTCAAACACTAAGACGTTTAAAGGGTCTCCGTTGATATACTACTGTCTCCAAAAACACCAGAATACTTGATTTGTCCTTTGCTGCATATTGATTTGTTTTTGGGTGGACGGATCCTTAATTGTATGCTTAAGTGTATTTTTATGTTCACTTAAAGATTGTACTGGCATTTGGTCACCAGTTTTGTTACACTAGTGTACTTTTCATCCTTGTTGATTTTAACTTTGACCCCATGCCATCTATTTATTTTACAAATGGAAGCACTGCAACAAAATACATTTTCAAGTGAATAAAAGTCACATTTTTCATTTTTATTCTTTTCTCATGGCTTGATTTGTCCATTTGTGAGACTCCGCTGTTTGATTTTGCGCACGATTTTAGTCTTCGCACTTCACCGTGAACTTTTTTTGTTTTTCACATTTCTTCTACAGCAGGCGACGCATCTTTGCCCTGTAATGTTTTTCTCCCCCTTTGGGGGTTAACGGTAACGCTAACGACACAAGGAATGAGGCCCAAACGTATCAACCGACGTGACGCCGGGTTTTCTAATTCAAACCATCTAAAGTAGTGAAAGGATCTTCAGGCCTCCCGTGGTGCTCCACCACCCAACTGGAACGGCAGCTTCACTGCCTGGACACCAGCGCGTGTTACCACGGCAACCTCCCATCTGCCATGGCTGCCATGGCTACCATGTTTCTGCTTAGCTCAGGTGATAGCAGGACCCCCAAACTGTGTAAACTCAGTCCAGCTGGAGTCCGGCGTCGATCCAACCGGTCGCCATGACGGGTAAGTGCACGTCCCTCCCGCTCGTACGCCGCGTAATAAATGAAACTCCTATAATCTGATTCCTCTGGTTTCTCCGCAGCCTTCGCGCTTGTCTTCATGTTGATAAATGTGCGTTTGATTCATTGCTGTGAAGGGGGGGCCATATCTGTTCTGCAGTCTCATTCCACCAGGTGAGGACTTCACTGGTTTATCCAGATATCATGAACTGATATTAACTTTTGATGAATGCATTCTAATCCACGGCTTTGTAGAAACTTACATTTTTTCCCTCTAAATTGTTCTTGCTCAACATTTCGCTATGAAGATCAAAAGGCTTTGTCTTTTATTACAAAAAAATGTCGTATTGACCTTTTATGGGTTTGAACCCATCAATTGGTCAAGTGAAGCAGTCACTTTGTTAACCTGCCCACTAGATGGCAGCACAAACCCAGGGAGACGTTGATCTTTGCTATTAATGCACTCCTCTTCCACCTGCATCGAGCCTCCGATGGGGACGCAGCAGACCGATGCAGGTGACCGCTGGCATGTGCAGCGAAAGCCTGCTAAATGTGGTAAAACTGCAAGATTTTAGAACGTGTGACATTTTACAAACGGCGCCCCATATGGGCCAGCATCGGAGACCACATCTGTCCAACCTCAACCCACTGGTGCACCCGTCACGTTTCTTGTGGCTGTTTCTGCAATGATTTAGTTTCCATTCAGTTTGTGCTTACTGGCTCATAGCAACACCTCCAGCACGTAGTAGTTGGTTGTGTGGCACCACCATGAGGCCATTTGTCAAGTTTTTTTCTTCTGAAAATAAAACCGTTCCTCCATAATTACTCCATAAGATTTTCAATTATTTTGTTAAATAATACTGATTAAGGATTTCATATTATTTTAGCTCAGCCTGGAGAAAATGAGTTTGACGGGAACATTTGTGGCAAACTATTGATTCAGCTGGAGCTTTCTGCTTTGACTCATGGCCTTCATTAGGAGTTTGTCCAACCATGTGACAAAAAAAACCTTGATTTTTTAACTTCTAGTTCAAATACAATTATCACAATTGTCTCATCATTCTGATGCACATCTGTATTAAAGTGTTTTTTTTAAATACATTTAGAAGATTGTGCGGCTTAAATGTCTTCAGCATGCTGTCTGTTTCCCTTTAGCAGACACCATTATATATATATATATATATATATATATATATATTATAAAAACATACATTTGTTCGTCAGGCTCCTCGTTCTGCAATGGCTTTCTGCTATCAGATAAACTCAAGCAGGTTCACCAGAACTTCCTTCAGCTCAGACTCCAGCTGGTGCTCTGAGACATTTCCTCTTCAGTCCACAGCGACCGTCCGCTTCAACGCAACACGACTGTTCTGTTGCAACTTCAAGTCAGATTTGATATGCAGGACTTTTACTTGTTTCAGAAGGTTTTGTGGGTTGTGTATTAGCATTATTATGACACATGACAACAAAAGTTGGATGCAGAATAAACGTCAATAAAGTTTTAATGTCAATAGAGAAATCACGTCACTTTTTTTGAAGAGATGCAGACAGTCCAGGTCGACGCTTCGCACCAGAGACTCTCAGGCTTCACTTTACTCTCCAGCGGGAACGTGTTGATGATTCCTGAAAGAACAACGTTGTCAGGAACTCCTCCCACGCTGCTCACAGGTGAAGGGCTTCTCTCCAGGATGGGGCTCACAGGTGAGCAGCACTGAGGAGGTCGAGGTGCAGCAGTGTGGTTCCTCCACAGTGTCGGCGCACTGACGTGGATCCACTTGCTCCCCTGTGAAACTCGCCTCCCCCTCCCCAGGAGGTCCTGCTGAATTTGTGGACGTCTATGCGAAGTAGAAATATTTCAGACAGAGCGTCATCATTCATAGCCTGAGTGATGCAACATTGTAATTCTACAAGCATGGAGGATTTGTACTTATTAGAGCTGTCAACATTAACGCGTTAATCCACGTGATTGATGTGCCCGAGATTAATGCAATAAAATATTTGAACGCAACTTTGTTTACTTCTGGTGTGGCGGAAGTAAGCGTTTGGAAAACGTGCTGGTTAAACGCGGGGGGATTTCCAACAGCCGTCAAATGATGATGACAGTTGAGAGGAAGAGTCGCTGTTCCACCCGATGGAATTCTAATGAGTGTCTAAAATACATACTTTCTAAAGTGATTACTAAGATTTAGTCTTTAGAAGACAAACAAACTTTTAATCGCAATGAATTGGTTAATTTTTTAATTTATCAGCTGACAGCCTCAGTATTTTGTGAGACATTTTAAAAACCATGTACAAAAATTTCTGGCCACTTTTTATCCACAAAATAGAATATAATTTACTTTGATTTATCCAGAGTCCAGATTCATGTACTGAATGTGTATCTGGATTAGCACATACTTGATAAGATAAGGCCTCATTTGCATATTCAAACAATATTTGAAAAAGGGTTTTAATTTGACCCAAGAATCTTCTTTGCCGATGTCCATGAGTCAAAGTTTACCTCTGATGAGCTCATCATGATGGTCATCTTTTCTTCTGGGTGTCTCTCCATCTGAAATAAAGACAATAAGAAACACGAATAAACAAATCAGTTGAAAAATAGCTCCGGCTTTGTTCCCTGCCTTTCTTATGTTGTGCATCTTTCAAATATCTGCAGTCTAACAATGAATTAGAAATGTCTACAAAGCAAACTACTTCTACGAACCCTAAAATTATTCACAATGAAACATATTCAACTGATGTTCGTTTTATCACAGGATATAGTTTGATAAAAGTAAAGAGAACAAAGTAACCTGTTTCTTTTTTGATTAACCTGCTAGGTGATCCGGTGTCTTTTCCTCACTGAGACCCAGAGATGCATCGATGGTTTCCATGGTGACAGCAGCCAAAGGAGTTTTAAAATTAAAAAAATATTTTCAAAAATAAACACGGAAAAATACATGAAATCGACTATGTACTAATATGAAAGTCCACAACAACCTGAAAACTCAGATGCAGTATATTATACTTGTTAATCAAAACTAAACTGTGTGTTGAATGTGTCAAATGTATCACATCATAGTGTTACAGTGGTCCATTTCATTTTTATTTCAGCAACAGTGGCATCCAGTTGGTCTGGATGCCAACATTTCTCTTTGTAAAATGGTAAAAAATAACGTCGTCATTCATTTCGTATCTGGCTGCATGCAGCATTTATTTGTTCATCTGTTATACGTCGAGAAGTACACTCGCGCCTCATAAGAAATAGTACAAAATGGATCAACCCCTTTTTGATAATGACTTCAAAACACAAAGTGGAGGTAAACAGAATACATATAGGCTTTTGATAACACCTGGGCACAACATGCATGTTCCATTCATATAAATACACAGTATCAAATAATGGGCCCAACTTGCAAGCAGTTGATTATGGGTTTCTCCAGCCATAAGACATCCCTCGAAATGTACAAAATGGATCGTTCATGGCAAGCTTGTACATCAAAACATGCTGTTTAGAGTTAACATGCCATTTGTGATATTGTAAGTATTGACGCTTTGTGGAGTGATGAGATCCGACAGGAGTAAAGAACCAACGAAGACGTTCGGGGAGTTCATCTTCCATCCAGGTCGCTCCCGCTTTCACTCCTCAGCTCTCCTGCCCTGTAAACAGACACTTCTAGAGGGCCGCTGAGCAAAGATCAACAGCTCTATCGCTCTTTGCAAAAAGAAAAAAATAACAATACAGTCCAACAAAACAAAATCTGAGGTTAGTTCATTATCACAAGTGTCTCTTCATATTTCTTTAAATAACAAAACAAAAGCATGACGTGTTTCTGCGCGTTGGACTCGTCTTCACAGGAATAGTTGAGCGCCGTCCCCCGTGTTGAAGGGATTAAAGGGTCATGCTTTCACGCTCTACACCTCCACCCAAGAGCTTAGTGCAAAAAAAAAAAAAAAAAGTGTTCAAGTCCCTTTTTTTCACTTTCGTCACACGGAAGAGACCAAAAAAGTCAAGTTTCTTACTCAAGGAGAAATACTGCACGCTGCCACGGCCTTGTGCGCGAGCTCACGGGGGAGAGCACAGCGCTTGGTTTCAGCTGGACAACATGAATGAATGACTGTCTAACAGCAACTTGAAATAGGTTAAATTTAAAGACAAAATCAATAAAAATCCTGGATTTTCTACATTTGACCTGTGGGCCGTCAGAATAGTTCAGAGAGTTAAGTGAGAAGAAGAAGAAGGGCTGCTAGCTTTATAAACGCCGGAAGGAACAGCAATCTGCCTGCTATTAGCATGTTGTACAGATTTAGTCAACTAGAGGTGCAGCGACGGCAGCGTCAAGCTTCTCATCAAACTCCCTGCAAGGTGGCAAGTACACTTATTTCCCACAATTTCAAGCAATTCCTTTAAATCTGACTGGCATTTTATACTTGCATACATAAATGGCAAAACAAACAGATAAATCAAGATTATTCTGAAGATAATCTAATGAAAAAGACTAAGACTAAGTATACATTAAATAATGCAGAATGGGTTTTTGGCAAACGTGACATTTTCAGAATAATTTTTTTTTTTTTTTTTGTTAAAATACCCAGCGAGACCTGTTCAGCCAATCCTATATTTGATAAACCAAAATCAGCTGCTAATATCTGATCAGCCAATAAATCTGTAAGGATCAAAAAATAAAACACCGATATCACAAAACATGCAAAATGGCAAAAACTCAAAAAATAATTTAAAAGATATTTCCATAACAGTAATGAAAATGATGGCACATACTGTATAGAAGATTTGAGAAAGCAAAGAATTACAAAAAATTGGGACACAAATTAACAATATTGTTTTACAATCACAAAAATAAAAAAAATCAGTGTCCAAAACAGCACAAGAAAGAGAACTGTGACAATACTAATATGGCTAAACGGGCCCTACTGTGCGTATATTCACAACGACAGTGTCGTAAAAAGATTTGTGCTCATAAATAATATCTAAATCCTTTCAGATTAGAAACAGAGAAAAGTAATGCACTGAAACAAGAGATTCAGTCCTTTGCCCGTTCGGGCAAAGAGGAAGTTGGTCCGCGAGGACGACGTCACCCCTGAGTGAAATGATTGGATATCCTGTTTGGGTGTGTTAAGTTTGTTTGACCTTTTGACCTTCGGTTAGAGGGAGGGAGCCGCGTCCTGTGCCCGGTGACGCGTGATGGCGGCGTGCGAGGGAGGGAGGGGGGGGGCGATGGCGAGGCACTCTTCATGCATCCTCCATCAGCGGCTCGGTGGGGAAACGGCAGGACCTTTTTTTTTCTTTTTTTTTAATCAATCTTTTTATTTTCTCACGTGAGGTTGGGAGACCCACGGTGCGCGTTCTCGGTCCAGACCTTCAGAGGTGAGTCTCGTCTCTGGTCTCTGTGCCAAAGTCCTGCCGGTTCCTGGAGCCGGGCGGCGCCGGCCCCCCTCCTTGCGAGTCGTCCGGCATGTGAGCCAGCGGGTCGGACCGGATGATGTACCTGTGCAGACGAGATGCTCATTGGACGCACGTTGAACATGCACAACGCCGTTGTCACCAAAGTAAAAGCTCCTCTGGCCGTCTGGGAAAGACAAGAAGGGCTCTTACACAATGTCGTTGAGCTCCAGCATGGTGTCCGGGGGGGGGTTGATGAGGACGTAGGACAGCGTGTTCTGGTGGTCGTTCATCTCGTCTGGGGAAAAGACACAGGAGACCTTCAGTGCTGCTCTGGACTCGGCCCTCGTCCATGATGCAGTACAGCAGGCGGGAAACGAGCCCCTGGTCTCTACCTCCGGGTGTGGACAAAGGACGCTCGTTTCCTCGTCTGGCTGTCAGTCCAACAGATTCTGCTTGCAAATATATGAAAGTGACAATTTAACCATTTAGTAAACTAATAATTGCAGTTACCAAATACATTTGAGGAATTCATAATGGGTTTGTGAAGCCGATACGGTTATTGATATTTAGAGGTTCAAACGGTTAGCAGAACAGTCCTCAAGTCATTTAGTTATTTATTTTTATCAAGTTGATTGATAAACAAGTTTTCAATAAACTAAATATCAAATTTAAAAAATTGAATGCAATGTAAAGAAATGTTTTACCCTCCGTTATCTAATACAGAATGAAGTACTTTATGCACTCTTTATACGACTCCTTCAGCCTTCTATAAACTACACACACTAACAGTTGCAACAATATTCTTTTATTGCTTTGCCAATGTACTTAAGCTAACCGAGCAAACCGTTTTGCACTATGAAGGTCTGACATTCTCTCCAGAATCAATAAGAGGAATCGCTCATTCCCACCATGAGTCACAATACTGTGTGTCTTTATGTCAGTTTGTGTGTGTGCGTGTGTGTGTCGAGTGCTCTCTGGCGGCGGCTCCTACTTGTTTTACGTGATGGACGGAGGAAGTGAAAGGAGGGCACATGTGTCTCCATGACAACCCACCTGCTTGTGGCCCTTTATAAAGCCAGGCGGGGTGGGAGGAGAGAGAAGGGCTAACCGTTACTGACAGGGCACTTTGTGGAACAAACGGAGGCCCATGCTGCCCGCTGACTAACACGACCCCCCCTCCCCCCTTCCCCCCCTCCCGTGCAGGGCCAACATGCAGACAGCGTCCGCGGCTACGCAACAACTCCACCCGCACCGCATTCACGAAAATAACTCTCTGCGCATTCCACACCGGACCAAAAGGCGGCAGGTTGCCATGCCAACGGACGACACTCAGCCGCCCCCACACACGATCACAATCACACACGCACACCCTCAGAGGGACATGCTCCAGCACCCGTCAGAACCGGACCAAAGGCAGAGCGACTCCAACCGGGCCGAGCGGAGCGGAACACGTCGGGAGTGCGAGAGTGGAGGAGGTCGACCTGCTGCTCCACTGAAGACGACCGGGAGAAGCTGCGCCAAGCGACTTTATCGGAGGCCCCTCGGTGTATTAAATGTGGATTACACCATGGCCACAGACAGAAAACGTGCTTCTTCATCTGGGAAAGGAAACCTCACACACGCGATGAGTCACTGATGTGTGTTCTGTTGTTGTGGCTCTGTAGTCCAGACGGATAAAATTGACTTTGATTGCCCCTTTTTTTAGGATTTTATTCCCACATTTGGTCAATTTTGACCTCCTGGTCTCCATCGAACGGAGACCTTTTATCCCTGATTTGTTGTCCACTTAAACTTCTCGGCCCTCTCGCTAACTCAGTGACATTATATTCATCTGGAATTCAACAAAAAGCTGTGAGACTAAAGCAAAGGCAACTACAGCAGCAGCACTATTCAGGACTAAGTGGCCGTGGTGTAAGTGTCCAGGTATGTGGAAGTTAGAGAGACAAGCCAGAGTTCTTCATTTCCTACTTAAAGACCCCTCCGATGTTTCTCCATCTAACCTTCCATCCACAGACACAATGCGTTCCGCTCCGCTCTTTATCGAAGCCACACTCCAAATCCCTGCAGCACTCGTCACCTCACGCGAACACAATGCAGAAAAGACCACGAAGACAGAGAGAGAGACAGTAGAGAGAGGAAGTGAGAGACTGGCTGTTGATCTACCACTGATTCTGGCACAAACACACACACACACACGCGCGCACACACACACACACACTCATGCAGTGAAGCTGCCGTAATGTGATCAGCGGGCTAACCTGGTGGCCTGGTCCCCTCTGTATACGGGTGCTCTGAAATGTCCTGCAACTCTAACAACAGTACTCACTGTCAACTTCAATATGCTAATTTGTTGATTTATAATAATAAAAAATAGAAAAAGTACTATGAACAGCCTAAGAAAAAACAAACCAAGTGGAAAAACACATTTCTAAAAACGGATAAATATAGATCTGTGTATAAATTCAGTGCACTGATCTTGGATAGATGCCGGGCGAGGAGACAACTTCCTTTCTCCACAAGATGGAACGGAGCCACTCACATTGCTGTACATTTGTTATAAAGAGCACAAAGTTACCTTGCAAATATCCTAGATTTACTCGATTCATGACATCGCTCGCAGTGAGATTAGAAACATCCTCTACAGGCCAAAGGGGGGAGACAGAAAGAATCAGAGAAAGAGACAGTGAGAGAAGAAAAGCACAAAAGGAGGAGGGGGGGGAGGGGGGACAAGAAAGAGATCAGGCAGGCAGCAAATGCATTTGCAGTTTCAAAAAGTAACTTTAAAAGAAAAAGTGAGAGCGATGCAAAGCAGCCAGGCAGTCGTGCGTGTGCACAGAATCACATGATATGAGCGTAATGCTGCAGTCGCTCCCAACAGCGTGCATGATTCATATGATGACACGGAGCTTTTTAGAAACGTTTGAGTGCAAATTGGGAGCGTGATTCTGATTTTTTTTTTTTAAGCGTAATGCTGCGAGCAGAGAAGAACTGCAAAAAAAAAAGCAAAGCAAAGAAGTGAGCGGGCGAAGACTGCAGTCAGTGATCCTCGTCTCCATGCACGACGCGCTCACGTCCACGGGGTGGATGTGTGACCACGACTGGGAAGGTGGTGTGTGTGTGTGTGTGTGTGGGAGGGGGGTGTGATGGCGCACGGAGGAGGACTGAGAGAATGAGGTTTATGAAGTTAAGTTGATGAGGTTATAATGATGATGAGGCGCGACATTAATGATTTGAATGAGCAAGACCCACAGCGCCTCGTCGTATTAGGCAGTAGGATGAGATACAATGACAGGAGCACAGATTGGAGTGAGGTCCAAACGCAGCTGGATGCCCGGCTGAAATAATTGAACTGGTTGAGAGCGGGTGGAGGACGTAGGCCCGATCAGAGGGACATTCTATGCAGATTTATGTATTTATGCCCTTTAAATCCTATGTTTTATATTATTTCTTTTGTATCATATTTTTATGACATCACATGTTCTCTGTCAGTGGTGTTTTACATGGCCTACTACATCTTTGCCACATGACACTGACACTGTTGATCAGCAACAGGCGACCGTGTCACTACATTTTTACGCCCTACCCGCTGAGGTTCAACACAACCAATTTCATTATTTCGGCCTCCTTCTGCTGCTGCTTTTTAAGAAATGTTTATAGTGCTGAGACTCCAATCTGCAAAAAAAAATAAAATTCCTTTCATTGTTATACACATTCATGCACTTCACGACCAATTACGCTGAAATAACCATGAATAAAAACAAAAACAACCTTAGTAACCACCTGTACTCTCTAAGCTTCGCTATGTTTATACAAGTGATACATCTGAGTCCCTGCAGCGAGGGATCTGGTTGCTCCCCTCACCGTATCCCACGGTGGGAAGGCCCAGGTGCTTCATGCGGTTCTTGACCAGCTCGGACAGCTCCTGGCGCTCCGAGCGTCGGTACAGGTTGAGTCTCTGCTGCGAGATGCGCTCCGCTCTGCTGGACGGCTTGTTGGTCTTCCTGCTCAGCCGCCGCGCCCACTGCATGCTCTTCTTCCTCAGCAGCGGGTGCTCCGACTGGTCGCTGGCGGTGGAGTTGCGGTGGGCCGCCTTCTCCTTCCAGGGCTCGCCGCGCTCGCGGGGCTCCTCGCCTTGTTGCGTGTTTATGGACACCTGAGACTGGGAGAGCCGGTGGGAGGGGGGGGAGGGTGGGGGAGTTAATACTGAATACTGTGTGCGAATTGGCTTGGATGGTTTTTATAATACCTGCGCACATCACAATAAAAGCAAACTTAATGCTTTAATTATTAAAAAAAACTTTTGAAAATATCCAAATAATAAACAAGCACGTTTGGATCTTACCTGTGCGTTACTGTCTTTGCCCTGAAACAAGGACCAACAGGCATCCAAACAAAACAAAAAGAAATGCAATGAAAGATGGAGGCATCCAAAGCAAACGAAATCATCAAAAATGTTCAGAACTTTGCACAAGAATTATAAAATCCACGCAGCGCCGGAAGCCCAACACAAAGCCGGGTCTCGGACATTTAGCATCCGATCCGAGCGAACTTGCCTCCGAGGTGGCGAACATGTGCGACTCTGTGCGGTAGATGCCGATGGGGATCTCGGCGCTGGAGGAACAGAGCTTCTGGAAGAGTCTGCCGTAAGTCCTGATCCACAGATCCTCTTCGGTGATCTTCATCTGAGAAGGACAGAGAACACCGATGGAGCGGATAGCACCAAAGGCTCCGGCGGCACAGGCGCTCCTACTCACAGCGCACAGGTACCCAGAGCCGGGCGTGGTGTCCAGGCCGAGGAGCAGCCTCGCGATGCCGATCATGTAGTCCTTAACGAACGACTGTGGGAGCAGAGAGAAGTGTGAGGGAAGGCGGCCTCGCGCCGGCTCAGACGCCCCGTGTGCACGCGCGCCGTTATCCCACCTGGTAAAGCAGCGTGTCCAACATGCTGATGCTGAACACTCTGCCGGCGGCGAACGGGAGGCGGAACATGAAGGCCAGGTTGGAGCCCTTGTCCCGCTCCACCTGGAGAGAGGAACCGTGTTAAAGTCTCACCTTTTCCCGTCTGTTTACTGCTCTGACTATTTGCTCCATGCGCAACACGACTATGCAGAATATTTCTGCAGTTTATCAACATCTTCAAGGGGGATGTTGTGAGGGTTGAGTAAGTCCAGGTAAGTCGAGTTTAACGGTAAAATGTTGAAACAGTAGGGCGATATAAATCCCATCAAATTCTATGATGCAGCTTTCAGCCTTTTTAAAAAATCTGGATGGACCACAGAGTTTCCTCACTTGAGGCGGGTGAGGGTTTTTTTTTTTGGGGGTGTCATGACGGGGTTCTGGGGTCTGAAAAGGCATCTCACCTTCTCCAGTTTGGAGAGAGCGAGCGAGTAGCAGTCCTTGGCTCGGAACTGCATGAACCTCATGTTGGAGGGATGCGTGAGCTCCGTGATGATGCTGAGACTGGGGAACAACCTGAGACGGGGGAGGTAAAGAGGAGGAGATTGTTGGTGAAGGATTTCTGCAGAGGTGGAGGACCTCGCGTGGCAGTGATGGATTCTTTTAATTTGCTTTCTTAAAAGAACCTCATCCACCATTTGGTGGGAAAACGCTGGAAAAAAACGTCAGTTTACTTTCCACGACAACAGAAGAGGAGGTGAACCAAGCGGAGCGCGACGCACATCCCATCACCTCCTCTGTGCTTGTACGCACCCGAAGGCGCTCTCCGGGTTACCTGAACATGGTCTGCACGTTGACGATGGTCTTGGCGTCCGCCATGTAGTCCTCCTCGGCGCTCATGGTGCTCTCCTTGTCCACGACCACCAGGTTGTCGGCGTAAATGATGCCGCACTGAAGCAGGTTGTCCAAGCTGGTCCATTGACAAAAAGACAGCGCTTATAACGGCTTGTGTGGAAATGGTTCTCTGCACGTTATACAGTATAACAGTACAACTTCCATTTATACGCTCTACACGCTAGGCTATGACTTTTGACAGCATAGTGTACTATTGACTTATGACTTATTATTGGAAATACTAAACTTTTGCATGGTATGCAATACGAAGACATTTAATGATGTACAATAGTACATTCAAGACTTAATACCGTATTTCATGTGGCATAGTACACTCAGACTTGTTCCTCACATGTTGCCTGACATACTATTTGTTACAGTGGCCTTTTGGCATTAATTTAAACATATAAATGAAGTGGCTGCGATTCATTAAAAGCATAACATACCTCTTACACTTATTCATGGCATTTTTAAGTCATACTAAACATAGATTGCCATTTTTAATCAAAATGTCTTCTGACATAATTATTGTTTTTAAATTATATGTTTGTGGCTATGAAATGTAAATTCTAAATTAAACATTTCATACAACAAGCATCACTGCTTGCTTCATTAATCTATACTACTTTTAATGACATATATCATGTTTTTTAAATTCCACTTTTTATGGCACACTATACGATTACTTGATGATTTCCATTTGGGCATTCTGAAATTAATTTTATGTAAATTGTTATGAGTCTTATTCTACTCAATATGTAGCTCCATAAAAGCTCATATGTATCATGAATCATTAAATTACGCACTGCTTCCGTAAGTGTGTGGAATAACATATTAAACGTAACTGTTAAATGCTTCGATAACATTTCCCATGTGTGCAGACATAGCTGATGATTGGACAACGTCTCCTAGCAACCAAAACAACACATTACTAAAGTGTTAATTAGGTGAGATCGCTTAAGAGCGAAAAAAGGGCCAACCGGCCTATTTAATCACCAAGTAATGATTAGCAAATGTACGTGGGAATAAGGGGCACGATGTGGAGTTGTGCTCGCTACTGTGTTGGAATGAAAACTATTACGGAGATGAACACGGTCATTAAATCAAGTAACCGAGTGAACAGGTTTACGAGTTTACAGGTAACCCAAACACATACTTATCGATTGTGCCCGCCATGAAGTAAACCATTGGGAAGCAGCAAATGGCCTCCAAGAAGTGATTGTCCGGTCTGCAGGAAACAGGAAACAGGAAACAGCAAACATGGTTAACGAGCCTCCCAGACTAATTATCTGTGGGAAACCCCCCGTCACACATTATGACGATATTGTGGCAATTTCCTGAAATGAGCCTGTTGATGACGGCAGTGCGGGGACCATTCCAACTGGATTCATTTTGAAGGCAGGAAAAAGTGGATTAATTCTTAAGATTCGACGAGAGGGTTGAAGCGGTTGCCATGGAAACCCCCGAGGTCGTCACGCAGCTTCCATGGCTCTCCAAATTGTAATCAAATGTTACAGTTCAACTAAACCTTTATAAATATATAAAGTCTTACTGGTAGTCCAGCAGCAGCACTATGGGGTTGAGCTCCTTCCTGGGCCGATAGTACGCACGCAGCGGGACGATGAAATTGTAGAGGCCGTTTCCCGCCGTCTCCGCGGACACTATGATCAGCTTGTTCTTGAAGCCGTACGCTTTGGCGTCCACGAAGCTGCTGTGTGTGCAGCCCTGGAATGGCATTTCAAGAGGGAATCCACCCGGTTTTCAGTTTTAGTGCAGGTGTTTTTTTTTTTTACGAAAACAGTTCTAAAAAGATTGTGTTACTCACCTTGTCGAGGCGGAGGCAGCAGAATGGAGCTTTCTGGGGCAGCAGGTGGCACAGGGTTGGAGAGCTGCCGATGTAGGGCGAGTTGGGAGGGTAGCCCTTCACAAAGCTGGTGAAAAAGAAACAAGAAGTTACCAAACTTGAACAACATTGTAATAACGTCAACGAACACCTTGTGCTTGTATGCCTTCGACAACCAGTCAAGTTGCTATTTTTTTATCCATGTTATTTACGATCTGAAGGAAGTGATGAACACAAACCCGCACAAAAGATTGCGTTTGTTTCAAAGAATTATTGTCCTTGAATCCTTCTTCGTTACTAATTCTAATCAGACAAAACATCGCATTTCCATCCTTCCATTAATCGCTTAAATCAGTCCCCTTTAAATGACTGAAGGATTCATTGCAGCTTAATAGAAACCGAACCAGCAATTACAATGTTTTTGTATCCTGCTTAGTTTTAATTATGTCTCATTTTGTTTTCGCCACAATTGTGCCAATATTGTTTTGTGAGCCCTGAACTGTAAAGCGGCTGATCAGATTGACGGTGCCCTCCGGTCTATCAACAAAAAGCGATCCGGACTTTGTTCATGGATGCGTATACCTGGTCACCACACGGGGGCACTGGGGCACCTTCAGCAGCCTCCATCTACCCGACTGCTGGTTGACATTTCTCAAAAGAAGAAAAACGACTCCAGCTTCGAGAGGCGCAGAAGTTTGAGATCTATGCAAGAGCACCTGCAGCACGAGCTGCACTTAAGAGGTAGATGGATGAGCCTACTTGTCACGAGATACATGTTCATCACCGCCACGTCTTCGCGCCACACAGATCACATGCCTCCTTCCAACCCATCAGTCCCTCCTCCTGCAACCACCGAGACGTGACCAAGCGGAGGACGGGTGACATCCATCGGGCCATTTCGCTTGTTTTAAAACCACGACACCCCTTCGGGTCAACGGCAGCACTCACTCGGGCGCCACGGAGCCCTCGTCGTCCGACTGGTTGGTCTCGTCCTCCGACTGGTCGCTGAGGAGGTCGCAGGGCAGAATGGCGGAGGAGTCGGCGATCTCCAGGACGGGCGCGATGCTCGGCCTGCGGCTGCCGGAGCCGTTCTCCGTCGGCAGCGTCAGCTTGCCGCTCTCCTCGGGCGGATCCGGGTTCTGGAGGTCGATGGCCACCGTGCCTGGAGAAGCACGCGACGCATCGCGGCGCGTTGTTTAGACGAAAAAAGGGGTTTTTCCATATTGTAAATATATTAGACTTTATAACTGTGTTTAGCTTGTTCAGAATCTTTGTCACTCACAGTGCTCTCTTTAGCTCAGCCTGAGATGTAATCATGTAATAAATACTCTAAAGTTTCAACAAAATAACAAACAGTATTGAAAAATGTGTGTCAATAAATATATCCCTGAAATACATCATACTGATTCATGATGTATGCATATTCCACATATCAGATACTTGATATATGCACAATAGATATATCAGATGTATCAGATACTTGGTGATATAAGCACATTACATATATCAGGCATATCAGATTTGATATATGAACAATAATCAGATGTATATATACACTGTATGTAGAATACACATTTATACAAAATCAGTCATGTATGAAAAAGTGATGCATCATGCGCAAACTTACCATATGCAGTGGCCTGATCAACTTTCACAGGTCAAAGAAAAAGCACAACACAATAATGTCAGCCAAGAAAGAAAAAAACGCATGTGAGAAAAGAAGTCGTGCATAACAGTCAGCGAAAGCAAACGGCATCACCAAGGCAGCCAGCGCGCCGACGTGTGAGGAGCCTGTCAGCAGCGAAGCCTCCGCTTCCCCCACCAAACTGTCTGCAGACTGAATAAACGGCATCGTCCACCTCCCCCCCCCCCCCGATTCCCCAACTTCCAAACGCACTTCTGCCCGTCAGCTGCGAGCCTCACCCATGCTGGCGATGATGCTGTGCACGGGCAGCCTGCAGGGGGCGTCGTAGAGGCCGCTGACGGACAGGCCCTTGTTGTGCTTCTCCTCCTCTTTGAAGATGAAGGCCGAGTTCTCCTCCTTGGTGATGTTGATGTAGTAGCAGGTGTCCGCCGCCGCCATGATGTGGCGGGGGCCCGGGTTGAGGAGGATGCTCTTGTTGTCCTCCCGCTTCACTCCGATCAAACACACACCGTACCTTGGAGGTGTGTGAGGGAGGGGGGTGCGATGTTCAAAATGGTTCTTCTTTTCATTGCATGCTACTGTAATTAATCTAAGGCGAGATGGAGCTGGGGAAACACTAACTTCTTGTGGGCGTGGAAGGAGGCGTAGGTGAAGCTCTTTCCATCGTACTCCCCAAAAAACTTGCTGTCACACAGGCGGATGTGGTAGACCTCGTTTCCAGAGCAGCGCCCATAAATCCGCTGCCACTGCTCCGGTGACAACTGCCCCTCCCTGAAACGGCACCATGGAATAGATGCTACTTTAAAAAAAAAGGTCAGTAATGGAGCGCTAACATACAGCAGCCTTGATTCTAAATATAAAAATGTCTGAATATAGTATGACACAAAAGTTATTTCAATTCAAAGAGGGTGCCATAAAAAAATTCCAACTTTATTCGCAACTCAGCAGCTCTTATTTCGCCATGTATCGACAAATCTATCTGACCGTTGACAACGCAAATCCAACATTCTAGTCACAATTCTGAAGAGAAATAGAGGCCGGGGGGGGTCATTTTATTTCAGGCAATTCCCATTCTGCATGACTTTCAATCGATGCGATGACATTTGAATTAAAAACTGCTAAAAAAGGAAGTCTAGTCCCAGACGTGTCACCTTCACAGCCCCAAGTCGCTGCAAGTTTTTCCATAATGGAAATTAAAACAGATGAGCTGCTGTGGACAGCAATGAAGATGTAGTGGGACCTTGCAAAGAACAAGAAAACCACCGAGCAAGAAGCAGCAGCGGTGACCGCACAGAAGCTACAGTCTGAAAAAAATAAACCCAAATCTATATTTGGGTCATTATTAATTGGGGTTAAACCTACGACGGAAGGAGGCGGTCGAGCTTGCTGGGTTGAAAATATTGACACCACAGAAGACTTAGCTTAGCATCTCTTAACAGGGAGGAAACAGCCCGGCTCCGGCCGTTATGCTAAACTAAGCTAAGCATCTCATCAAATGGACAGATATTTGATATCAATCCCCGCGTCTAACTGGAGGCAAGAATGCAGTACGAGTCCACGCTGAACAATCCAAACAATTATATTACTTGGACTGTAAAAGCACTTTCTTATATTTGATCACGTTAGTGCAAAGCATGCAGAGTATATTACCTTGAGAAAGTCGCAGGTCCATAACAATAACTCAATTTATTAATTTGATTTTGTGCAGCCCAAAATCACAAACTTACACTCACACAGCGATAGAAAGTCGACAGCACGGTAAATCCACAAAGGTTAACGTCTACTCACTGTCCTCTGGAGGTGTGAACTAGGAGTGTGACTAAGGTGGACGTGGCGGGACACACACAGTTCAGCGCCAACATGGCGTACTTGAACTCTTCTTCACACACCACGTGATCTGATTGAAAGGGATGGAAATAACACGACATGTAAGACCGAGGCTGTGTTGCACCAACAAGGTAGAAGATAAAAGTCACCAATAAGATCTCACCTGCAAACTTAACATGGAATTTATTTTCTGGTTTGAGAATTTGGACGTAGAGAGGGCAGTTTGGAGCAAAATCTTTTGCAGCCCAAGCCCTTAAAATAGTCTGATGATCCTGTTTCACAACAAAAATGTACATTTCACTCATCCGGTTAGTTATTTGTAAATGCAATTGGAATTTTAGGGACCGTGCAGGTTCAGTCGGTGACTCAATGTGCTCCTGATACTCAACGGCAGAATCACGACTCGCGAATCACGAATATCTCAAACGCTCTTGGCTGGATTTTAAAAGGAGGGGAAATGGCTTCATCTAAATCATTGTTATCGTGAGATTGTGTTTCACCGACGATAAGAATCCAATTGATGAGACTCACAGCGGCAGTTCGGTCGACCTCGTTCCTGCTGCTGAGGATGAAGCAGGCCTCGGCGTCGTCCATCCTGAGCACAGACAGAGAGACGAGACGGTGATTGCAGAGATCGTTCGTGGAAAAGCCGGGCGGGGGTGAGGGTGACCTTTCCTCGCCTCTCTGAGGGATTTTATCTACTTCCTGTTGCTGCGTAAAAATGCACCTGCGTAACTTTGCACATTCATTAGTCTCACATCGCCGTGCTCTAGTGAGAGGGAGTATCTCATCGTAGCCGGCAGCACCGTGAATATTTTGTAGGGAGCGAGACCGGATTGACCACCACCAGTGTGATCCATCAGTCTCGATTGCTGCATATCCTTTCCGGCTTTTGCTTTTCAATTACACGGATGTGCAAGCAGAGAGCCGGCAAGTAAACGAGCAAGCACCTCCTCCTCTATATGAACCCCTCCGGACTCCCAGCGCAGACTTTACATTTACATACTTTTAAAAGGAATTTAGATGTCCTGAACCAGAACCTAAAGCTAAACCGTTTCAATGACCCACTTTACCAGACATTAACACAGGGCCTGGTTTCATGGGGCCTCCATGGTGCCAAGCAGTACACCATGTTTTACTCATTTGCCTGCAAGGACTCACTTGGCCCTCATCAAGTCCTGGTCTTTGAGGGCGGATCCCTGCAGGTAGATGACCCTCTGGGACCACAGGGGGATCTGGAGGATACGGCGAACCTGAATGTCTATCTCCGTTGGACACAGGATCACCACGTAGTAGTCCTGCAAAACGAGGATTCGAAGTGTGTGTATTGAAACAGATCTTTGGTTGTTGTCATCCTGCTGATCACTGAACCATTACCATCTACACTGACCACATACAGCTGATTCGCTTCGGTACCTGCAGCCTCGGGTGAGCGTAGAACTCGTTGAGGAAATCCATCAGCAGGTCGATCTTCAGCGAGCTGACGCACAACACCACATGTTTCTCCGTCTGCGCGCGGTGGCGGCTGTAGTTTCCACCCAACTTCTGGCTCTCCATCCACAAGTACGCCAGCTCTTCGAACTGACAAAAACGACAGCGACACTGGCGTGACGTCAAATGCGACAAGAACTGCCGACGCAGCGGTTCGTCAGGCACCAGGTGTTCATTCCCCTTTCTTCCCTTCCCCCGGGTTGTTTCCAATTAAATAATGCAGCGAATAGATGGATTTATCATGCGGCGAGCGTGAGCCGATACGACTCGGCCAGGAGTTTGAGTTTGATTTGCGGACGTCTCCAGCGGCCAAAAATGTCAGAGGGGAGAAAGCACTTCATTAGGTCTGCAAGAAAATGTCATTTAATATTTGATCATAGTTGCACAAAGGTCAGTAGATGCGGCACATGACGGGAATTGCTAATCTCGGAAAAGCACCCAGTAAAAGGTTTGCACCCTTCGCCCTACTTTGCAGGGGGGGAACCAACCCGCTCCTTTTCTCTCCTTCATCACCTGCAGTGGGAGCACCACCAGCGCCACGCAGATGAGAATGACCACCAGCAGCTGGGAGGGCCAGATCTGTGGGGTGACGTCCCCGTAGCCCACGGTGGAGAAGGTGACGATGCAGAAATAGAAGGCGTCAAACAGGCCCAGGTGCTTCCCCGCTCTCTCTAGGTGCTGGATCCCACAAGCTCTGCAGAAAGATGGATATCATGGGACAGGATGCTACACCAGACACGTCTGCAGCGGGGAAAGATTGAAACGTCTAAGCGTGAAATGAAGAGCCGTTTTAGCTCGGTGGACTGGTTGTCAGACTCAATTTGCTGAAAGATCAAAGTCGAGTAAAAAGACCAAAGGTTCCCTCAGTCTCACTACCCAGCTTATTACATTAATGAGTCACATTTAATTTAGCATCTAGATATTGAGTATACCATTGTTGATTATGTTTTATTTAGTGTACAATCACTTCAAAATATAATTAGTTGTCAAATAAAACTGTGCACGTGTGTCGGCTTACGAGAACAAGACGTGTAATCAATACTAGAGTACGTCCGTTGTCCAGACTCTGGGTGTTCCGGGTCATGTAGCACAGTGTGTGTGACACAGTAAACAGGAAATGCATGACCCAGAACGCAGGTTCACTCACCCAGTGAAAACCAGGCAGAATAGTGTGCAGATGAGGATGAACACCTGGTTGAACATGGCGGAGTGGGTCCTCTGGATGGCGCGATGGAAGTCGTTCTGAACGTGGGACAAAGGGGTTACTAGATAGCTGGGTGTTCACCACCATATCCATCCTCAATCAGTGCGCACACATACATCGCGCACAGTCCCTGTCCGACCCCACTGTCCCTCGTCGTCGTCCTACGTTTGGTTTCCTCCTACTCCGTCTTGAGATGTAGCACCCAGTGACTCACTTCCAGTCGCATCTTGTTAGCGTGTTCTGCCTGTCGGCGCCTCCCTTCAGCGCCTCTGCAAACGCTCCGTGTTTCCTCTCCGTGTGCCGGTCCGCTCGGCCTCGGATTCAACCATCTGCCCAACTAACCGCCTTGGCACGAGGCTGCTACTCTGTCACGGTCTCGTCGGGATAACGGCGTGGGAACGCGCTACGCCGGTTGGGTATCATCTAATTGCTTTGAGTTCCATGTAACAGCACCTGCTGTGTCCTGGCGAATATTTATTACACAAAAGCAGAATTCTGTGACGAGGAGTTTCTACGTGTTTCTGCTGCATTGCAGTGTTTGTTATGTCTGCATTGGCCGTTGGTTCTGAAGGTGTTTCAAAATGTGCCGTGTGGCCCTCATTTCTTTATGTATTGTTTTGTTCCACATCCGCCTCTGGATATTTAGTATTTACACGATGTGCAGTCATCAATCCCCTGCAACAACTGCTGTTGGCACAATAAAAAGTTACTGAGTGGGAGTCATAGCTGCCGGTGAAACCGTCTATAGGAAATATATACACCGTAAAATGCTGTGACATGGAAGTGAGTCACGTCAATTTTAAACTCATTTCTTCATCTGCAAAATGGCTAAGCACGTCTTTTCTTTTCCCTGAACTTGGCTGAGTTTTCCTTTTTTAATGGTTGGTGAACGCTTCTTAATCAATGAGCAACCTAATTTATGAAAGCAGCACCAACCGTCAAAGAAATGCATCGTGTCACCTCAAATGAATCCTCTCCAAATCCCTCAGTGGTTAAAAAACAAACAAACACAAACACGAGTTCTATGTGCTCTTTTTTTCCTGCGTTGCCGCCCGTTGAAAATACGTACGATCATGTTCTCCAGGGCACCTTTGGCAAGCCAGCAGTTAAGAAACACCGGGACGAATATGTTTCTCAATGGAGGCCAGAAGATCTTAAAGGAAGACGGAAGAAAGAAAGGGAGGAAAATATCAGTGAAATGTTTATCTGCAAACATTTCTGTGACGGAGAAGGGACATAGAAATGCTCGATACAGGGAAGAACATAAACGGCACGAGCCCTCGGATGAGGGACTCACAGTGAATGTGCTCTAACATTAGATTATTGTGTTGCTCAGAGCAGTAAAATCCCCCAATGACCTTGAGTGTGTCTGGTGGAACAAAGTGAAACTACTGGATGAAAGCCGTTACTCACCGTGATTATAAATGGCACTGAATTGATCATCTCCAATATGAAGGATATTTGGAAGATCTGCTCCCAAATGTTCCCCTGGAAAGCAAATTGGTTTGGAAATGGTTCATTAAACCCGTGACAGGATGGATTGTTTCAGAGAGAACTATAAAACTACACTGTGTAGCAGGCAAGAGTACGAGGGCTTGGTCGGTTGTGAATTTTAAGTCTAATCATGAAATTCGAAAAAAGCTTCATTTTTTGGTGCAAACAATGAACTGAGAGCCTCACATCTGGATCGGAGGGGTTGGTGATAAACGCTGGGTCAGGACACCACGGCCCGCTTTGACCTGCTTTGTTTTTTCCGGGCATTTGAGGTTTGTGCAGCATGTTAATGAGGCTTAGCTACTGTCCAGCGCGTACATACAGAAACACAATTATCATAATCTTTGTAATTTAATTTCCCTCCATCAAAATTGCTTTCTTCTAGATCTTAATGACTTTTTAAAAAGTTTACTTTGTACTGCTGTATATTCTCTGCTGACTCGAGATGCAAAATGAGCTTATTAGTGCCCTCGAACTATTACATGCTGAATTATGTATTCAATGAGACCTCGAATGAAGGAAAGCTTCGCTGTTTCCAAACGGCCGCATTAAAAAAACTAGTTAAATGTGAAAAGACTATGTGGTTACTGGCAAGATGCAGGCCAGATAATAAATAGGCTCATACATACGGTGAAAGTATGGTGGCAGCTAAGCCTAAATCAGCATGTGAGACTAAATACGGATCACATTTTGGACGTTTAAACACCAATTTAAAGGGACATTGTGGTGGGATTGTTATTGAAAAGGACATAGCAAGGCATGAAAAGAAAAGAAACTGCAAATATTAAAACCTCCACATGTCCATCTCATTAACAAACTGCACTGCAGTGGCTCAAACAAAGGCTGACCCGTTGTATCTGTGGATTTCCATAGAATCCATTTTGCTGATATCTTCAGTTCCGCCATTTAAATTAATATTGAAACCATTAAAACCAAAAAGAAAAGCACTTCCAGCCCGCAAACTGCTTTATGTAACCGAGGGATGTCAGAGTCTAAAAGTTGTGGCTTGTGATAGGTGACCCCACTGGGCCCAAACACCTGGACTGCTCACTGAGGAGCACACGCGAGCTGGACTTTGATCGGACGGCTGTCAGACATCGGCGCGGTTCCTCACCTTGTAGCTGAGATATGTGATGAGCATCGTCTCCAAGAAACTGATTAAGGCCACTGTCACCTGCAGCAGAGGGGAGAGAACAGTCACCTGCACCACCTGCATCGGATAAAGGGCCACTAAGATTTCACTTCAACGTGGTCCTCGAGCAGTGGAATTTGATTCACGTGCACCTTCATTTGAGTGGAATTAGTCTCACCTGTATCGCCCATACAGGTTCCCGTCTGGTAACCCAGAAAATCAACGACCTGTCAAAAGCCACATCGAAGTTCTCTTTTCTGCACCTCCATTTAATTGAACGCGCTTCAGTTTAAAATGAAACGGCATTGACACTGAAACGTACCAGTTGATGTCTCCCGAGGCTGCAGTATTGTTGTTACTCCGACATATTGCACTGTGGAGGAAAACAGTAACACGCGTGAATGTGTGTGTGTGGGGGGGGGGAGGCGTTTTGCTCAGTTGGTATGTTGCCATAAATAACAAACCCACATGTCTCTAAAAGCTGCTGGCAGTGAGAACAATACAAACAATCCACTACTTCCACCAGACTACACGGACAGACCAACACACACAAATACAAGTCGCTCCATCGCACCAGAATAAATAAAAAAACAGGAAAGCTATTAGGCTCCGTTATCATTTCAATTACAAAAACTGATCCATATCAAAAGGGATGAATGAAACATTTTAATATAAATAAATGTGTCTGCTGATTTCATTTCAGTTTACCTGCATGATTAATACCCGAGGATGAAGATACAAAGGGTTCAAGGTGATTAGGAGGTAGTCACCAAAAAAGTACCTGGACAGGTAAAGCTTTTTCGGAAGCAAAGAATCTAGCATCAACTTTACTGAGCATTAATAACTATGAAGCAAATACTGACACAACTGGGGATGAAAACGCTCACCATGGGTCTCCGTTGACGCCGTTGGGATCATCCAGGCTGACCCGCAGTATGTACAGGGCACAGGTGAGAACCTTCAGGGAGAAGTTGAACAAGCGGATTCTCAGGCCTGCGGACAAAACAAAGATAAAAGGTTCTTCCACAAATACCTAAAGAGTGTTCCGAGCACCTGTGTCATCGTGGGTCTGCGGCTGATAACGGGCGCCGCCGGGTCTCTCCGCAGTGGAAGCTTGACACCAGATGTTTTGGGTGCGGCAGTGAAAAGGCTTAGAGAGAGAGCCAGAGCCTGAAGCGTGAGTAATGTCGCCCTTCGTTGCTCTGGCACATTTTATGGGCCGTCTGATACGAAACCGCCGCATCGGACGCGCACCACCGGCCAACATGCAGAACGGCCACCCGGACGCGGCTGCCGGGCAGAGGGCGGTGCTCGTTGTACTGAACAGCTGCCTCGCTAATGACCTGCGACAGAAACTCCTCGGATCGCGCCGGGTGTCGATGGTAAAGTGATTGGAAACCTGGACAAAGACAGACGGCGCTGCACCAGCATAAGCAACAGACCCCCGCAGCCTGGTCTGACTTTTTCATTACAGTCTGCTGGCTTGTGGCCGACGCGGCGGCTTAGTGACAGTGGCAGGTTGAGGGGAAACATTGGCAGGTGTCAGTGCAGAGGACACGCTAACTGAAGAAGGAATGAGACGCGAGTCATTACTGACTGCCATCACCGTCATTCGACTTTTGTTTTGTTTGTTTTAGCTCGGATAACATAAAGCGGCAGCGAGCCTCTTTTCACACGATTGGCTGTACTTACTTGACCTTTGGTTTTTGATGAAAAAGAGCTTCAGCCTCTCCTTGAAGGTGTTTTCATTCACATAGAACTCCACCTGCACCCTGTGGGGAGCAGTCGCATGAAGTCAGTGGAAATGTACACTAACACACACACACAAACAAACAGTGCTCATCTCACCGTGGCGTTGTACAGAATCAGGTGGGGGGAAAAAGCAGTGGATTTGCAGTAATATTACTACAGACCGAGACAGTACTGGCATTCAGAACAGATACACAAATGTAATACTAGAAAAAGAATGTACAAGGTGATATAGTTTTTGCAGCTGAAAATAGTCTTATAAAGACCAACACATTTTATATTTACTCATCTTTGGCAAGCGTTTGCAAAAGTGCCATGCTCAGCTATTTCAGGAAAGCATGAAGTATTTATCCATGACCTGTTCCTAAAATCCTACAGCACGTCTTCGGGAGGAACACATTTGCCTGGAATGGACACATGGTTAAAAATAATCACTCTTAACAACTTCATGTTCTTCTCGTGTTTTGGAACAGAAAACACCTCATAAAAACAAGTCCTAAAATATGAACACATGATGCATGAAAGTGTGATACCTGATGCAAAGATAGATTTCAGTAAATACACAAAATATTTAAGTTTGATACGGAGCCTTTGCTTGCATCCTGCTATCGTGAAAAAAACATGCATGGTGTTTTTAGGACATTGCAATAATCATGTTGGATACACAAAAAATGTGCTTTGTGTGGAAATACAGTGCAGGAACAAGCTGGACAAGACTCCTAACTTCGATAACTCTGATATGTGGGTTGTACGACGAGTCTCACCCCGATAAAGACCTTTAACCTCACACACATGAGCAGAACATGGACTGAGTGCTTTACATTAGGCATCACCTCGAAGGGATCTATTAATAATTACGCTTCCTTAAGTGTGATAAATCCGAAGCAATAAAGGTTTCGGACACAGTGGACTTAAATGCCTCTGGAGATCGACCACTTCAGAGCGGTTAAGTATCTCCTGTGCTGTCGATGAACAAAGGTGGTGAGACGGCACCATTACGGTTCCTGTAACGCGAGCTTATCAACACTAATGAGCGCGCATGGGGAATTAACTGTGGCCCAGTGGCTACAGGAGGGGAACCTCAAGAGCCCCCTCCCACCTCCCACCTCCCAGCGGCCAGACAAGATGAATGCAGAGGGCAAAAAAGACCAGAACGGAGGAGTAGGAGGGCAATTACAGCCCCCAAATCCCAGGATAGGTGTTTGTGTGTGTGCGGATAAAGAGTGTAGGTGGAAGAAAGAACATGAGACATGCACAGTCTCTCTCCCTCATCGCCATGGAGACCGCTTCCAGGGCAAGAAATGGTCACAGCAGGCTATGTGTGTGTGTGTGTGTGTGTGTGTGTGTGATGTGTTTCCAGAACAAGGAATTAGCCGTAGCCACACACATCTCCTGCTCCATCTTCATTAGCGAATCAGAAGATCCATCATGCGCGCCGTGTCCGTTGACACAGCTGTCAGAAGAGACAGACAACAGCTACAACAGCTTGACTACAGACACCTGACCCGTACTGTACAACACCTACTTATTTAGGAGTTTCAAATTCAAAATCGCTTCAAATAAAGCGTACAGCTCATTAATGAAAACAAAGTGCATTGCTACAATTTCTACACGACCCAATATGAATACCTTTTTTTTCAAAGTAGGGCCCAAAAAAGAAAATCTGACCCCGAAAATCACCTACGGACCACAACGTTGCACTTTACAACCACTAAAACATAAATGAAGATAAACGTCTCTGCCAGCCGCAGTGCAGATTTCTCTAAGCAGCTCCTACAAAAACACTTCTTCCAGCTGTGCCCTTACGTACTGACGCCATTTTATTTTGACATCTGTCGTCTGCAAACTGCAATCTGGACATTAGCCTGACTTTGCAACTATTAACAATTGCATTTTGAATCCGTGAAAGGGCAGACAGCAGCTCTTGACCACAGGAAGAGACTCTACCTTTCCCTTCTCCGGAGCCTACAGGTGGCTGACGAGGCGTGTTTGCACAGGGTCACAATACATGGAAGGATGAGCTCACGCTTGAGCCAGCACCAGGCCAGTGTAATCTGAGAGCAAGGCGGAGGGAGCCTGGAGGGAACAAACAGCGGTTGAGCCTCCTATATGTGGCACACGCAAACACAGAAACAACGTGGGCATTGCCAGTTGTGGGACTACGCATAGAACGGGTGTATAAATTAACTCTGAGAGGAGGCCACGTCTATCCTGCGCCAACCCTGTACCAAGCCGTACTACCCACACCGCTAATCTGCACTCTCAATTGCATTTGGATGGAAAACCTTTTTGCATGCTCCATTTGCTCTGGATTCAAATCCCATATTCTAATATACAGTCTTTTTGAGGCGTACAATCAGAATTAATTCACTCCCCTAAATACCTACGTTACCAAAAGCAATCGTTCCCATTGCAACAATAACTCCTATTTCCAGATCTCAGGTTTGCTCTGCTGGCAGAAAATAGACAACTCCCCATTCATCATGGTCACACATGTGGCTGATGGAAAACCTGCCGGGATTCTGAAGATAATACTTCTGAATAAAGCTGCGGACACCTTTGTTTTTCCTCTCCTTTCTCCTTCTCCTTTCCTCTCCTCTTCAGTTCCAACGAGCCGCATCGAAAAACTGCTCATGGTCCAGATGAGGGCTGCAGATGCGCAAGTACTTTGTCAAGGGACGCTCTTTACAGGGACGTTTTCACATGTTGGGAGGATAAACAATGGACAGGTGGCCTGTGGCCTAGTCGGATGGCCGTGAAAGAGCCGGCACGGGTTGTTTCTGGTCCTTCAAGGCGACCGTGAACCCTGCAAGCGGCTCTACAAGTGCGTTGGACTTGTGGAGGGGGCCCTCGCTGTTCTGGGTGTGCGCGTGTTCGAGGACGTAGAAATCCCTGAAGCATTTTGTTCCAAAGCGTTACCTACAGTGCACAGCAGCGCAATTTATTACATTTTAATCCTGAATCAGCAGAGTCAAAGACGCTGATTCAAAGCAGTTCTCGCGTGTCTTTCAAGGTCTATACAGGAGTTCTGACACAAATGCACCGTTATAATAAGAGCGCTGCCAACTTTATGGATGACTACACGGTTTGGCTAATAACAAATTAATCTTCCTGTTGACTGAAGTGAAAATTTCAGGAGCACAGAAGCTAAATTGCTGCATGGATGGATTACACGCTTGGTGCCTGAGAACTGGTAATCCACAAAAGTGATTTTCCCTATTCCCCAAAAAAAGAGAGTCCATTGTTATTGGCTGGGCTGTTTACTCTCACAAAAGAAAATGTTCTCAAACCAACATTTGAAAAGTCAAGCACATCTCAGCATGGAGCGCCTCTATAATGATATAATGAGGGTGGTTCGAGCACCCACTAAGTCCCCCTTGAGCACCCGAAACAGAGATTTCATAACGGGCAGGAAACAAACATTGCAAACGCGCAGTGATTAATATCCCTTTGATGAGGTGAACCCATTTCTGTGACATTTTACACTTTTTCTTTCCGCAACTATAAGATGAAGCTCATATCAACCGCATTCCTCTTTAACAAAATACAAAAAAAGAAAAAGAAAAATGCTCCATGAGGCTGAATTTCTCCAGATTAGGATAAGCACAACAGAGACGTGATTATAGCTCTCCACTTTGCACATCCCCAAGGATAACAATCCATTTTCCAACAGCTGCACAGCCCCAGAAAGCTTCACAATCGAGAGGCCTCCCACCGCGGCCGAGGGACATGGCCCCGCTATGAAAATGCAAAACTCTCCTCAGCATTTATTGACTACATGCTCTTCAAAATCAACGTTCCTAATGTTGGTAAATCCGATTAGTTTTTTCTAAATCAGATCCAGACAGTCCGACTGATATTGGCAGACGATGAGATCAGACATCACTAACCTGTGGTAACGACGGGGGCATCTGGAAACATCTTGCTACACCGGTGACGTGGATTTCTAACGAGGAAGCATTCGGCCTCAAGGATCATTTGAGCAATCCGAGCTTCTGGGCTGAGACGCATTTGACTGGATCGCATTTCAAACTGGTGGATTCGATTTGAAAAATAATTGCATTTCATGTTTTCTAGACTTTCTAAAAATGTACCTGCAAGAAATCTAGATACGACAAAAAAGGTGCTGGAAATCTGAATAGGGAGACAGACATTTCTAGAGATAAATGGGACTCAAAAAAATAAAGTACAATTTAAGTAAATATTGTCTGCAAGTTTGATGAAAGCATGCCTTCAGGACTTCTTCTGGAATCTTTTTGGATATTCCTGTCTAGATACTCGAGCATAAACATGTGAATGTTCAGGGATTAAGCAGCAGTTAACAGCATTAGTACAGCACAAACAAATAGACATGTTGCAGAGTTCAGCACCACTTTTTCACCTGCACTGTGTCCAGAGACTCTCTCAGCTTTCAGCCAAGGTCAAACATTGACCGAGTGAAGACTGTTGTGCACATTCAGCCTGTCAAGGGACAGACGATACACCCGGACAATGTCAATCAAATATAACACACAAGCTGCCTTTTCACCATTTACTGTGACGTGATCGAATGCACCAAACATCTGTGTTCTGTGCCAATTTTTTTGTTTTTTGAGTCTTTGCCACAACAGTTGTTGAAAAGGTAGCGACACTTAATTGGATTATTCTCAGCATTCTGTACCCACAACAATCATAGCCCACTTTACGGATAAAGTGTAACGGTAATAATTTCCCCCCCAAGCCAAAATGTCAACATCCAATCTGTGCAAAAACCGAGCAAACAATTTGTGCTCGCAAAACAGTCCTGTGGAAAGTTACCGTCGGAGATACAATCCATGCCATGCAAGCATGATGCTGCCAGGGACTTACTGGGCATTGGTCGAGTCCATACTGTATTCCTCCTGATACCTGGACGCAGCACACATGGACACAGATAGGCATGGGTTAGGAGAGAGAGGGAGAGAGAGGGGAGGGGGGGGGGGTTGAGGAAGCAGGGAAGGAAAGAGCACAACAAAAAGAGGAGGCCACTCGGGATGCCGCTGCAGTTTCTTTTGCATTCACTTGCACCTCGAGTCAGAAGGCAACTATTGTGCAACCTTGTAGAGGAATCGGTTTGTGCCGAAAGGAGGCTCAGGGTGAGGATCTGAGGTCAGGATGGCAGGAATGAGGTGCGTGTCTGAGCTGCTGCTTCTCGCTGCAGGGTTGAAGCCTCCGGTCAAGAAGGTTCCATTGAGTCGCCTTCAAACTAAGTAAATATGAACATGAGTGGAGATTGACACCATCCGAGCACCCGACGGGAAATATAAAATGTATTACGGAGATATTAACTCCCAGCGAGCATGCAAAGCAAACTGCACAAGAAGTTAATCAAAAGGTCACGTCAGCTGAATAAAGAACAGGCGGGAGACTTAATGCAAACCACAGGGGACCAGTTGATACACACTCTGAGTCGAGCGCGCAGGTTGGACGGAAGGGAAGAGTGTTGCGCTGAGGGACCTGACAGGGACACACACACACATATTCATGTCAATGGCCGACGTGTGGACTACTGGGATAGACGTTCTCTGCGACAAAACAAAGAAGGTCCCTCGTTACCGTACGGAAGTGTACAGAGGCATTAAATAAGACACGAGCAGAGGATGGAGCTCCTCCCGAAGATGTTTGATATGTTACCGTGTCTGAAATAATTAATCTATCCTGATACAGGAAAAAAAAAAAGTGAAGTAATTTATTCCATTTTTAGACTCGTATCATTAGCGGCCCAATTCACTGTACATTTTCATACCATTCAGAAAATGTGGTTCAACATTATTAATGATAAACCCATGTTTTAATTTGCTTTTAATGTTTGTATAATGAGTTGCCATTAAGCTTGGCACAGGTCTGGCACAACAAAGAGACATACCATTAATTCAGACACATGTCATGAATAAATATCAGATTAAACCTTTTATCTATTTCCAACAATTATACACACTGATCCCAACCACTTAATATCTGCATAGCCTTGCAGGTGTAATACGGAGACATTAACTCCCTCTTCCTGACATGTAGGCAGAGAGATTAGTCTGGTCCGTTTGTCCGTTAGTCTGCTGAGCAAAATACTTCAAGGGCGGGTCCAAATTTCAGCAGTGATCGTTGAAAATCATAATTTAGGCTGATGTCCCTTTGAAGCCTGTAAAAAGTGTAAATGAGGAGCGCTGGAGGACTGCGGTCATTACTTAGCAGTTCCGACCGATTGAAAAGATTCTGACGGAAGAAGCATTTTCAAAAAGGACTAATGGAGTGTGCATTAAAGCACGGAAGTGGTCGGTCACAAGAGAGCAGTAATGAATCAAGTACCTTTTGGCATCACAACAACTGAGCGCAGTCGATTATTGCGCTTGGGAGCAGAAAGAAAGTTTACGTCAATAAATTTTACTTCTGTAACTTTCTAATAAACCGAACATAAAAAAGTTATTCATTTACATCGAATAAAAAAAAAAAATCATCTAATAAAAAAAATCATTACCTAAAGTGTTAAACAGGAGGTTGTAGTCAGTAATATCTTTAATCAATTGAAACAAATACATATTTTGGAGGATTTAGTTGGGGGGGGGGCTGGCTCCATCGCAGCCAACTTCGGGCGATAGACAGGGTACATCCTGGATTGGTCGCCAGCCAATCGCAGGGCAGCACAGAGACACACAACCATTCACACTCACATCCACACATCTACGGGCAATTTAAAGTCCCCAATCAACCTGATCCCCAGAACATGTCTTTGGACTGTGGGAGGAAGCCGGAGAACCCGGAGAGAACCCACGCAGACACGGGGAGAACATGCAGACTCCACACAGAAAGGCCACTGGGCGGAATCGAACCCAGGACCTTTTTGCTGTGAGGCAACAGTGTTAACCACCACGCCACCGTAATAATAATAATAATATTTACTGTACAAAAGACTGCTTTACAAGTGTGATTTGCTCGGCCCAGCTGCCCCTTTAACAACTTTCCACCGAAGTGAAAACGCTATTTAGAAATGCATATTGTGCTCATCACATACACAGGAACAACAGGAACAACAACCCCTCTGCAGAGATCTCACGGTCCATTTTGTGGCTTTCTGACCACACGTTATTGACCAATAAAGACTAACTGTCAGCAAATGGCTTTAGCAGTTCACAGGATACAATTAGCTGAGGTTACTTTTTGCCCCATTGTTCCACCACACTCAACACCAGGACTTCCTCCTGCGTTTCTTCATCATAAACTGAATAAACTCAACCATCCCGATATTCATGCCGTTAGCATCATGATGCCCTTCAAGCTTTGCACAAATCCTGATAAAACAAATGCAACACAGACTAGAGAGTGGAGCCTCACCTCTTTGCAGCTGATGTGGAATCCACGAGCTGAGCTACCGAGACAACAAGTGCAAAATGACCAGCGCTTTCAAAGTATGCTTTCTAATACGATTACTGAAAGCTTCCTCAAGGACTGGCTGGTAGAAAGAGGACGGCCTCACACACACACACACACACACACACACACACACACACACACACACAACATCTCTGCAGCAGTTTCAAGGGCAAGTGGGATTTGTAGTTTTTAAACTGTTTATCTGCACTAGGAAGCGAGCCATCATTTCGTCAAATACTACAGCATCCTCACTACCCGAAAGGACAGCTCAGTTTCTCTCCTCCCAAAATATCACTAGTTGGTTCCAGTAACTGAACACCTGGCCTGTAGCTTAATTATGCTGGTGCATTTTTTATTATCCCTTTTTCAGGGAGAATACCAGTTTATGAATGGCTGACAAATGTCCATTGAAACCTAATAGTAGACCCCTCAGACCTGGTCCTGGTCAACCCCTGAAGGTTTCTTAACTGCAGGTAACCATAGCAACAGTACCTCTGTAGTCCTTTGTCTGGTTGGGCAATCCGACCAGATTTGTCATGAAACAACACCCAGCGTTGTCATTTTCAATATCCGAGATGTTTATTAGATAATTATGGGTAATTTAGCTGCAGAAACATTTTATGGCTTGAGTCTACTGGACATCATGTCGTTTTTCAATCAATCCATCTTATTTATTTTCTTTACCTTTATTATTATATTCCTTGGATCAGCTGCAAACATGTTCCCAATCTGTTTATCTTTGCCTCTTAGTGTTTGCGTATTACACAAAATGAGAAATGTTTTACTCCTTGCTGCTCCTTTAACTGATCACCTCCTTTTTCTTGCTCACAGCAGAGATTACAAAGGTCTCTGCTGGTGCTACTTGTGAGCTTTTTCTGGAACACGGCCCAGATTCAGTTCATCTGACATCCAGAGCGGGGCTGCGTGAGCCCGTCAGCGTCGCTCAAATAATCCCACATCGTCCCGTCCTCGAGGCCTTTCGATTGATCCGCTGTCTATTGATGCTCTCAAGGAGAAGGAGAAGGCAAGCGGCCGATGATTTGGCCTGTGCATGTGCACACTTGCTCATTTACACTTATACAACACGCAGCCAAGCGCACACGGGTGCCTCAGTGCGAGAGAGCCAATTAAAGGCCACTTGCACGCCTTTAGATGTTCCCTCTTGAGCGCTATAGGCGGATGCCTCAGCAAACCAGAGCACTCGTTGCTTTCGAGTCAACCACTGAGATGTTTCCATCCTTAATGAATAATAACGATGGACAACGTGCCGTTTATCCCAAGGACCACATTAAAACCCCCTCATTAAACCTCGGGTACTCAAATACAAATGAGGGCATAATTAACAAAAAGGAACTTTAGTAGTTTGTGCAATAAATGCTGTAAAGTTGTTTACAACTATACGGAGCAACTGGGCAGCTATGAATTTAAAAAGGTTACCTTAAAAGAAAGCACATCAATGCCAAAATCCATCTAGAAAGAATAAAATGGTCGAGATTGTGGACGGAACACAACAGAGCCTCTATTAGTGTGAGCTGCTGCTCCTTTAACGCGGCTACGCTCATCTTATGTGCAGTTAAACAGTCCAAACGTCCATTACCTCAAAGCCATTATCCAACGGACTGCTGCCAACCACAATGTGTTGGTGTGGAAATCCAATATGTTGTTTAAGACATAACAGGATATTCATATCTCATTTCCCTCTTAAATGCATCTAAATCAGTGTATCACCTGCATAATTCACACCAACGTGTTGGACAATAAAGGTGTGTGTGAGTAGCAAAGAAGTAAATCCAAATAAGAGAAAAGTTAAGTTCTGTTGACTAAGAACGTATGATGATGTTTTATCAATACTGTTTGAGATTTACAATGTTAACAGTTGATTGAGGTTTGCGGTAGCTGACAAACAACGTTAAAAAGACCATTATCCTCCAGAGAAATCGAGTCTGCTCGACCTTGAGTGGCTAAAGTGCAAATCCCTCAAAAAAATAAAATCAAAGACCTCAGTGTGGCTTTGATATTATAAATGTCAAAAGCATAACTTTATGAAAAGGCAGAAGTGCTTCCTAGTGGAAAACTCGGTGAAGCTAAAACACTAAAATGTCAGCAGATTATATTTAAAGTCGATGCTGCATAGCAAGTCAATCAAAAGCCCTGCTTCTTATCATCTGAAGATCACCATGCGTAATACTTCTTGCATTAATAGGAAGATGACTAACAGCAGGACGGGTCGAGGCCAAACAGAACTACGATGTGCGGCCCGTCTGGAGGTCCCTTTACCGCCCGGCATTCACAGTAGAGGGAATCCTACATGCAGGATTCCCTCTAGACGTTTGTGTGTGCACATACATCCAGGGGTTTACCAGCTGCTCCGAATCATGCTAAACAGGTTCAATTGTTCACAGCGGGGCGTCGCACAATGGGCCGGGTTATTGGTTCGCTCACTGCTCCCCTCACACGCTCTCATTCCGAAGACACAGGCGGCGATTGGCCACGAAGCGGGAGCG